CCCTTAATGACTTCACCTCATTTCACTTGTCGACATTGTTTCTTCATTTCTTTCCATTGAAAGTATTTTTTTGTAATTAAACGGGCTTCCAATTGCTAAAATGGTACAGGTGTGTGCTTGTTCAACAGCGGTGTTAAACAGTTCAGCACAGGAATTGCAGAAGGTGAAAGGCAGGTGAATGAGGCGTCGGTGAAAGATGCTGTGAGCAGTGCCGGTGCCTCAGGTGCCTCAGCATTTGAATTATAAAGGTGATTTTATTTGTGGACGGGCAGGTGCATCCAGTGAATCAACGAGCATACACTGTCAGAGTTGTCCGACGACCGGAGTTGAGTTCTCCCTCTCCCTCTCCCTCTCCCTCTCCTTACGACGTCGCCAATGGTGGTAGTGTACGACTCTCCCCGTGCTCCCCGATTCTGCTGCTCCACTGGCCCTCACCACCATCGCCGTTATCTCGACCCATTTGCATCAACATTCGTGGTCGGCTAGCCGATCTGACGCCGAGCCGCCGCAGCAACCACCACCACCAACAGCAGCAGCAGCAGCAGCAAATTCGCCTTCTTCTATGCACGCAGGCTCAGTGTTGTTCTCGGGCGAACTTTGTTATTGTTTGTCTTCCAGAGCACTGAATTCACTGTCTTCAATTTACCAGTGAACCCCATAAACGCATCTTCTCAGGGCCGTCATTCTCAACCTTGGACTTACCGTCCAACTGATTCCACTATGTCAGAAAGCAGTGTCCTCTGCAGATGCCTGGCTGTGATCTAATTAAGCCAATTAACACTACACCATCTCTAAGCAACGCCGTTTATCGCAAATATTTGGAGCTTCTCACAAGTGCCACTGCAATCGTTAATTTTGATACTAATACAATCTTAATTCTACTCTGTCTCGCCTCGATCAATGATCATTCTTTCTTTATGACTTCAAAATGTGTACATATCAAACGTAAATTACATTTGAATAGTCTCTCCTTCAAGTTATCTTTGCTTTATTTTATATCGTTGCTTCATGTGTGTGCCGTGCCAAGCCTCGGCGAATGAGACAAGTGCTGCTTTGCTCACTGCGGTGCAATGGCTTGTAATGAGGTAAGCACACCCAAAAGTGCAAAGCTTTCTTAGCTAGTTGATCACCAGCTGATTACCACACCCGGCTAACCAAACACTGTATTGTACCTTCACTAGGACCCAGAGCTCATTTTCACTAAACAAGAGCGAATAGGAAAAGGATCATTTGGAGAGGTCTTTAAGGGAATAGATAACCGCACTCAACAGGTTGTTGCCATCAAGATCATCGACTTGGAAGAGGCCGAAGATGAAATAGAGGACATTCAACAGGAGATTATGGTCCTCTCTCAATGTGATAGTCCCTATGTGACAAAATATTTTGGCTCCTACTTAAAAGTACTGTGCCCACTGTTCTCTTGTACGCTGCTGTACTACTGACCATTCCACTTTGACTCGCAGGGCACTAAACTATGGATCATCATGGAGTACTTAGGCGGTGGATCCGCGCTAGACCTGATGAAAGCGGGGCAATTCGATGAGATGCACATTGCAGTCATCCTAAGGGAAGTGCTTAAAGGACTTGACTACCTGCATTCGGAGAAAAAACTTCATCGTGATATAAAAGGTATGCGCGCAAATAAAATAAAGATCAACAAATCTGTGTTAGTTATTAATAATCTATCTCCAATAGCCGCCAACGTTTTGCTCTCCGAAATGGGCGATGTCAAGTTGGCTGACTTTGGAGTGGCAGGGCAGCTGACAAACACCACCAGCAAAAGGAGCACTTTTGTTGGAACACCCTTCTGGATGGCGCCTGAAGTGATTAAGCAATCTGCGTATGACTCCAAGGTACGAGCTTCAACATGCACGACTCGCCATTTAACCGAAACGGGCAATTCCCCTTTCATTGCAGGCTGACATCTGGTCGCTGGGCATCACTGCAATTGAGCTTGCCAAAGGCGAGCCTCCCAACTCGGATTTGCATCCAATGCGAGTATTATTCCTCATTCCGAAGAACAATCCTCCTCAGCTCACAGGCAATTATAGCAAGCAATTTAAAGAATTCGTAGAAGCATGTCTCAACAAAGATCCTGAAAATGTATGCATATGATGCCAGCAAGGCTTGCCTTACTGACCCAGTTTGTACTAACATTCTAATTTATATCCTGCAGAGACCTTCTTCAAAAGAGCTACTTAAGTTTCCATTTATTAGAAAGTCAAAGAAAAACTCCTTTCTAATTGATTTGATTGAAAAGTTCAAACGGTACAAGGCAGCTGGTGGAGGCAAAAGTGACAGTGATTCAGATGCTTCAGACTCGTAAGTGTCATATCCTCTATTCTCCTGTGAGCCCTTTGTACTACTAATATGTCACCCAATCAACTCAGAGACGACTCTAAAGGCACCTCTACGATGGACAACTACACGTGGGATTTGACCATCAAGCAAAATCCTACTCAACCGAACAAGTACATTGACAACAGTAGTTTGGCGGTTCTGGAGTCGGCAAAGTCGCAACCTGTGGAAGAGCTAAATATGAAGCAGCTAAACATTGACAATACCCATTATTCGGCATCTTCAAATGGTGAAACTAAAGCACCCTCAAAGGACAGCATCACAGTGTCTGCAGATAAGGCGGACTCCAAAGCTGTGAAACCGGTAAGTGATGAAATCACCCTTTAGTGAACCTTTCTAAGTCTTTGTTTTTCAGAATCAAAAGCCAACAAAGAGCAAACAGATTGAGGTGAAAGTAACGCAAAGGACACCGGAGAAACCACAGGAGAGTCCGCAGAGAAAGTCAACCAGTGAGCCAGCGTCCCCGTACCACGCTCATGCCTCCTCTAGTTCAAGTGAAAGTGAGCCTTTTGGCAGTGTTGAGAAGAAGGCTCCAGCCAAGGTGAGTGCCGAAGAGACGGCTCGTTCGCCATACAAGTACCCGAAGACGGCCGCTCCTGCTCAAAGTCCTCAGCTGAACCAAGTACGTTCCAACATTTCTGGTCATTCCGGCTCTCCCAAACCGCAGCCTTCAGCAAAAAGTACCTCTTCCAACAGCGGTGGTGGTGGGGCAGGCTCTGGTGGAGCAAGGCACTACAGTCAACATGAGAAAGCAGAGGCAGCAACCAACTTCAGCACAGTCCCGTCAAAGCAGCCAACTTCCAACTACCTGATAACTATTCTCGATGAGGTATTTGGCATTGTTGCATCATCGTCTTTTGTTGGCTAACTTTTCTTCTGTATCCAAACAGCTTTGCAAACGTGATCCCAGTAGGAGTCTGGAGCAAAATCAGATTCGACAGAGTACTATCGATAACTTAAAAAGTGCTTTCCAAAGTGCCGAACAAGCCTTACCTGGGGTATCTGGAATGTTTGTCGACGAAATTCTGTCCAATCTTCGTGGACCAAGTGCCCAAACCTCTTTACATAGTGAAAACTTGCATCGAAACAGCGCTTCACAATCATCAAGTTAATGTTTTGTTGAATACCAACTCTTGCACAATGAAAGAAATATATAGACAATGTACAATTCATAAAACAGTTTATTTATTTACACTATTGCATCATTTGTATTGATAATTGTAATATAATAGTCAAGCTTTCAAAGAATCAATCGGGCAGCAAAAGAGGGGTTGAGAATCTTACCGTTTACTTGCCAACGTCTTCTTGAGAACAGATCTTTAAATCAGAAAAATGTTGTCCTCCCGGGGTTCTACACGTTGCACATAAGGGAAAGCAGTACATCGTGTAGAACGAGGACGTTGATTTGGTCCGAATGGATTGACAGCCTCATGGATTGGCCGAGCTTGGGCCGAGGGAGTCGGCTTGCAAAGGTACAAGATAGGATGTAGTCAGTTGTGGGGATTGAAAATGAGCNAAGCAGTACATCGTGTAGAACGAGGACGTTGATTTGGTCCGAATGGATTGACAGCCTCATGGATTGGCCAAGCTTGGGCTGAGGGAGTCGGCTTGCAAAGGTACAAGATAGGATGTAGTCAGTTGTGGGGATTGAAAATGAGCACGAGATGAGCACCAACTGACTAAAGAAATACCCATCTCGTGCAAGAAACGGGAACGCAAAAAGGTTAGGTTATAGTGTGCCGAAGCACAACCTACCTGCTTGCAAGCTGAAACGGACTGACTTCTTTCGCGGCAAGAGCCCCGGTTTTATTGAAAACACAAACGCGCTGCTCACAAACGACGTGTGTAGTGGGGGCAGCACTCTCACGCAAAAAGCGAGGGAAACCATTGCCGCTGCTTTAGCTTTGCTCAAGAAAGGATTTTCATCATCAGAAAACTAAAATTAAAGACTATTTATTAATGAAGGAGAATGAAACAAACAAATAGAAAATGAAGAATAAAACAAAAACAGGAGGAAAGAACACAGAAAAAAGGGGGATTGACAAAATGGGTTGCAGCTGATTTACAGTCGTATGGTGTGTTGCTTGCAGAGTCGTGCAAAGAGTGTCTGGCGCAAGATACGGTGTGTTTTACTGTTTATTCGCTTGCTCCTGTTTCCTTACTAGGCTGAAAAAAGACGGAAAACTCATGCTGGAGCAAACGGAGAATTTGCAGCAAAAACATACGACAAAAACTAGCAGCTAAGTAAAAATGATGTCTAAGTACAATTGGAGATATAGATACAATGGTGGAGATGCGTGTCAGGTCTAAATACATTGATTGAATTTATAAATTACTAGTGTGGTGTTATATAAAAATGAATCAGCGCCCATCGGTGATGATGTAAAAACGAATTCCGTAGCACAGCTTTGCGCTAGGGGTTCAGGTGAAGAATGGAGAGGCGTGCACAGACCACATTGGAGGCGAGTGTGCGTTATGTGTACAGTTGCTAGATAGTAGTCGAGAGGCGTAGTAGCAGGGGCTATCGATCTCTAGAAGCGGTTATCTAAAGCGGTGAGTCAATTTACATGATTAGCAAATGATATACAATGGAGAGAGACAGTAGGACGAGTGATGAGGCAGGTCTCAGGCAGGAGATGACTTCAGCTGTTGTTCTCACCAGCTGTTGCCAAGCGTATAGACGCCTGTCCGTTTAACTGAGAAATCTCACACTTCACTTCATTATCATCGTCATTTGCACTGTCTCCGAGCTGGTTGCTGTTGGCTGCTGCCAGTGTTGACAAGCCAAGAGGAATACTTTGACTATCATTAATATTGAGGTTGCTGACCACTTGCTGGTACATTGACACAGGAATGGTGACCATGCCGGACATAGGAAAACCTACGAGAACACAAGGAGGTTAGTAGAAGCCACCAAAGGTATAGCTCAGTACGTACTGCTTTGAGTTCCATCTTCGCCGGTGAGGATAATCTGCCCATCAGGGCCGATTGTGGCTTCCGCTAGGGACACCGCCTGAGTGCCTCCTCCCTCGATATCGACGTTGACAGTGCTAATTTGAGCGATGCGCTGCTCTTGATCTTGGCCAGTAGCAATTTCCGCCAGTGTTTGCACACCACCTTGGCCCCCGTCGTTACTTTGGAACTGAAAACATTTTTTAGTATTTTAAAATATATTAAGTCAGCAAACGATGAAGACTAAGATTAGCTTACCCTTAAAGTTCGCAAAGTGCTCATCTGATTTTGTCCATCAGAAATGGCCACCACGGCTTGAGGATCCACTTGGATGATAGACAGAGTGCCGTCAGGATTGTTAATCGTTTGGACCATTGGTGTGAAGTGCGAGAGTGGCTGCGTGTACATAGTTGCCTAGAACGGAGAATGGAGGGTCAAAAATTAAGCTTGATTTTGTTTTAAACAACAAGCATGTTCAGCTAAAAAGCATAACAAAATGAAACGGCAAACAAAATGAAAACTATTTCTCCAAATAATAAAACTAAAGCATCTACAAGCATTAAATTTTTGATGCAATGAAAATTACAACAAAATGAAAACGAAGCTATGTTAGTGTCGTGCATTTCGCTGACATACGTTAACGCCCTGAGCTGTAAGGGTTGCAGTAACATCTGCAGATATTGGAACTGTTGTAATGTTCTGATTTGCCGCGAGATTTGTTATATTTATGCCCTGCGATTGCAAAATCATCGTTCGATTCTTCACCTTCTCTTTGTTATTTTGAGTGCTTGGGCCAGGACCAGGACCAGGCACTGTCGAAGTGGTCGACTTGTCTTCCTCTTCACTAAAAGCGGGGAGTAAATCTTCGCGTCCGTGGTATTTATAGCAATTGATGACGATTTGCCGTAATGCGTGGGTCCATGAAACTTGCTAAAAGAGGACAAACAATAGCACAGTTAGAGAAGGATGCACAGTGGAAGGCGACAAAATACCTTCTGCTTGTCCTCTTCATTTCTAGCGTCCGAGCGAACATTTGCCCACGGAAGATCTGCTGGCCACCACTGCGGTCTGGTGGAGTCTTTGCCCCAGCCAGGTTTGCCTCGCCCAGTTGAGTATTTCAGCATGAGAGGTATGAAAGCTCTCAGTTGTGCCTGAGTCATCTTCTCAACTGGCGTGGGAATTCCATCAACGACTAGAGGAGGCAACTCGTGTAGCGTCGGATCTTCCTTCACTTGTGGCGGTGCGTGCTGTGCTAATGCTGCTTCTAATTCCTGCATAACCAGGGGTCGACATTGCCTTACCTGTATTGTTGAGGGGTGAAAGATTTGCCGAGTTTAAAACTTGCACTTTTAAATACAAAATATGCACATACCACACTTTCCAGTGGCCGAGCACCGAAAACTTTAAAATTGTTTTGTGGCTTGCCTGGCGTGACTATGAGAACGACTGCTTGTTGTCCTACTCTTGTTGTATATTCGTCAATTGTTTGCTTCAATTTTCTGCAAGAAAAATGTTACTATTGCACAGCAAGCAAACAAGTACCGTCTCGAACCTTAAAAGCCTTGTTTGTTGCCGTTTCCGAATAGATGGATTGGTTTCAAACGTGTGCGGTCTTTTCCGCTTTTTAGCTGTTGCAATGGCAGCGGCTGCAGCCACCCCAACTGGGCCTAAAAGTGAAACATAAAAAGTGAGCCATATTTTAGAACAGGGGGAGGAAACAAGAAGACGTTACCTGCTGCAGCCAGTTGGGCTGTCACCTCATCGTGTACTTCGCCTGAAAGCAGGTCACTGTCGTCAAAGTTGTCACTTTCAGGTGATGAGGGATCGTCACTGAGATCGTCCATATCAGCACCGCCGCCATCAGAATGATTCATTGCTTCAGGTTTGTTTTTCATGAAAATGGTAGCCTTGCGCACTCCAGTTATTGAATTGTGATTGATGATGCCGTTTGGTTTCCAAAAAAGATTCGCCGATTTTGATGGGCCGATGCGTCCAAAAAAAGTTTCACCCGGCACCACTACCCACAAAACATCTCGGAGGCGTATTATCAGTGGGATTTATCAGGCTGCAAGAGTAGAGAATAGCACAGTGGTTAGAAATCACAACAGTTCAACAACCGAAATGCAGTCATATAAAATCAAAGCAGTTAGCCATCAAGTAAACAATCGCTAATTGCAGGAGTGTCGGTGCAGAGTGAGCTCGTGTGGGGAGGAGGGGGTGCGTGCTTGACTAATGTGTAATTTCTTCAAGTATATAGAGAAAGTGGGCAAATGAGAGGGTGAATGTGAGCCGTACATGAGCATTACTTGAGTCAGGGTTCGCAGAGGGAAAAGTGGTGGAAATTGAAACTCTAGCAAGCAGTCATCAGGATCACTGAAGCCAGCAGGAGCAGCAGCCGGAGCAGGAGCAAGAGCAAGCCGCTGTATGGGCTTCATCGCCAGTGGAGAACCATATAAAAGAACATAGCGACAATATATCTATTTATACGAGCAAGAATCGATCGATGGACGGGCAACCAAAAAGTACCGCGGCCCACAACCACTATATATGCGAGGACGCTTCAGAAAGGCTGTAATGAGCAGTGTGTCCTGTGGAACGGTTGCACTTGGCCGCCGTTGTGAACGTCGACTGGGACAAGTGGAACAAGGTGATGGTGATGGTGGTGGTGGGCACATTTCAAAAACAAAGATTCCTTAATGTAAGCCATTGGTGATGCTGGCATTATCATTATCCACTTCTTTTGCTCGGTTTTGTTGATGCTGCAATGAATCAGTGTTTGTCTAGCACGTGCTGTGGCTCTTGCTTTCTTGCAGTTTTTCTGAAAAGACGAGAGATTGCTGAAGACCAGAGGAAAGCTGTGCTCTAGTAGTAGTTTTCAGGTATAATGAAGATCTGGGCAAGAGTATGGCGGCACCAAGATAACAGCAGAAAAGAACAACAACAAAACGTCAAAAAGCAGCACAGTTTGAAGTGAGCAAAGCTGACGGTGTGGCACGACGAGACGAGAGAATGCTGGCACACTGACTGGCGAGTTTCGGTTGTGAGTTCGGTTTTTGGTTCGGCGCAGCGGAGGTTAGAGTTGAGGTACAGTCGGGAGTGGCCGCGAGATTGGACGCAATGGCCTTGTGCGCAAGCTGACTGACTCAGTTCAGCTGCCTGATCGTGGCACTTCACCAGCACCAAACACTACCCGAACTCGCCTTGCGCACGCCGACGTCCAACAGTAGGTAGGCAGTGGAAGAGCTAGGCATTTCACAGAGCATGGTTCTTCGGTGTCGGCGTCTTTCGAGGCCTAGGTGTGCAAACCACATGTCTCCAAAGGAGTTTCTTCTAGGTTGTTTATTATTTGGAGTCTGCGCTGTGCAGATGCGTGTTGTTTGAATCGAAGAGCGCACTGACAAACTGGGCACTGAGCACCGGGGCCGAACTTTGCGGCCGATTCGAACACCCCCTAGACCCGGGCCGGTCACCTGAAAGGCAAATTGAAACCGTTTCACTTACCTAAATCCTCAATCGGTGGAGACTTGGAGGTCTTAGGGAGAACTAGGCAAATACTCTCCACAATGTCTATCTGTCCAACTGCAGCAACGGAGAAAAATGGCCAGAATTGGCCGCTAGATGGCGAATCGATACGCTCGCCCTCTCAAGCTTGGCGCCCTTTGGGAGGCGGAGTTTGCTTGTGAATGGCGTTCTGAGCCCTTCGTACGCCGGTTTGCCTTCCCCACTGCTGCCGGTGCTGCTGCTACACTGCTGCAGCAGCGGATCGCCCGAACCAAACAGCTGGCACTGGTTCAACCTGCTCCTCCTCCTCCTCCTCCTCTGCCGCCCCCGTGCCCACCAGCAGAATGAGTTCTCCTTCTATCGAGCTAACATTAGAGCCACCGGCGGGTGACTGCGCCACAGTGCTTAGTTCGGCGGTCAAAGTTCGCAGTTCCGGTGTGTGTGAGCAGTGGGTGGTCTGCAGACTCTACAGTCTAAAGTTAGTCAATGCGGCTGGAAACCAGGAATTGCTCTTTTCGCACATCAAACAATAAGGACAACTACTGTTGTTGTTGTAGATGCGCTAGCATAAACCAGAAATGATGGTGACGAAATGGCTTCTCACTGTTTAGCTCTCTGTCTGAAACAGCAGGTGCACAATGGGTAACATATGCAAATCACCTGTGCTAAGCACCGGTAATGATGATGCAAAAATGAGGGGGAAATAACTTCAAGTCGGTAACTGTTCTGCCAAAAAGAAAGTGAAAGTACGAGTTCAAAAGGCGCGACGGTGTCGTCACCTCGTGCTGTAAAGTGAACTGTCCAGAATCGGCGAATCGAACCGCTCTGATTACGTCATCTTTGAAGATGCGCTCTCTCCAAACATTTTACCAGAATTCGGCTTGCCATACCGTGAACCCAATTAGTTGAACCCAATTAATTAGGGGACTCTGCGGTTTACCTTTGGGAAGGCGTTTGCAGGGCACAACGGCTGCTCACAGCCCTTTGGGCTAGCCAACGGTGCATCTTTTCCACCACACGTCTACTCGAGTGCAATTGTTGTTTATATGTGTTTCACCTGTCACACTCAGTGTCAACGATGGTCAACGACGAACTGGTTGCTCAAATGGGCCCGCCAATTCTTCAATCGGGGCTGAGTAGTGGTCCCCAAGGGAATCCTCCGTTTACGGGTGATCCGAGCAATGGAATCGTCTCCACAATCGCCAACAACATCACCCCCAGTGCCTCCTCTAATAATGTTGTGTTTACCCGAGAAGAACTTAAGGAACTCTCCACAATTGATAGGTAAATTGCTTGAACCTTGATTATTGCTTATTTGCATTTTAAAACCAAAACATTTTCACAGTCAACTGTTTGGAATTCTAAAATTGGATGATCCAGCAAATAAGAAATTCAAAGCGACACTCCAGAAGGTTGGTGCATCTTTTTGCGCTATGTTATTTCGGTTTACAACAGTATTCATTGCAGGGAATCAAAGCTTTTGAAGTTGCCTTACTGAATCGTTGGCTATTGCTTGAAAAATCGGAACAAAATTCGTGCAATTTAGTTGCCTCAAGCTTGAAGATGAAGAATATCGACTCCAGAATCTACTGTCGTTTAGGTCACTACAACCTTTTTATGGGCTATTATTCTAAAGGTACGTTTTACATCTACTGAAGCGACTTTAAACAATAATATCCCTTGTAGCTTTGTCTGCATATCAACTTTATTTTGGTCTTGAACCTGAGTATTGGAAGGTAAGCATGAACAACGAGAAAACTTTTTTTCATTTCGATAACCGCTTCAAAACTTATAAACAAATAGGACTCGCCATTTCTCTTCAGCCTCGGTCTCATCTACTTTCACTACAAAGCATTTCCTTGGTAAGTGCCATTTCTGGATTTGAACTAATTCAACAATCTATTCCCCTTTTCACATCCTGTTTGGTATTTGCTCTTAACTTTCCTTATTGCTAACTTCCTCAGCTTGTTTTCCCCTAATGCCCGCCAAGCCTCATATGCAAAGAGTAGCAGAAGCATGTTGATTTTTTATTTCACTCAATTTGGTGCTCCTATCTGTTTGCATTTCTCGTTAGTAGAGGGCGACAGTTTGAAGTTAAAATGATAATTTGATTTGAAATGGCTCTGGTGGTATGACCAGTGTTTGGTAAAGTGTATTCTTTCTTTGAAATGAAAAATGAAAAGCAGTTATAGATACCACAGGGTGATGCTAAAATGCTCATAAGTTAACTTCAGAGACAATGATAGGTTAAATTGTTCGACATTGCATTAGTGCTGGGCAATTTCAAATGTGAAAGCTCTTCAGTGGTAGATGAGCTGTGTTAGGTGAAAAGTATCACTGATTCACTGCGATGAAACTCGTTCTTAGCTGGCAACTCAAGCCAAGTATCTCCAGTGATTCTCCGTTGTGTTTGCACACTCACCCGTTCACCCACATTTGCTGCTGTACTTGTTGCCTACTGCTGCTCAGCATTGCAGTGCAATCTTATCTTCTCTTCCGTTGCTCGTCGATGAGCACAACCCGAGTCACTCGTTGTCAGTACTTTAGCCTGGCTAATGACTCAGTGTGAGTTTTCCCTGTTGCTGTCCTACTTCTAAAGTGTTGACGCTGCGCCAAGAGGACAACAGAATCGAATCCCAGACCTCCTCCACTCTCAGCCTTTGGAACTGCCACATGCGCGCGCTCCCTTTCTGGCTCCCTTTCTCTCCTACAGGCAGCTATACCACGACGACGACTACGACCAGTGTAGTGTGTGCAGCACCAGACCTTTCTCTAAGCAGCATTTCTGCTGAACAAGAGCACTCTGTGCTCTGTTGGTCTAGTGGCAGACGAAAGTACTCGTGTCGTCGTCGTTCCTCACTGCTGCTGCTGTCGCCGCCGCTTGCTCTCCTTAACACCCAGAGAGGGGGTCAATGAGCTCTGTCTGCAGTGTTTTTTCCGCTGTCTGTGCCAGTAGGGTTTCGTTCCTTTGCAGACTGCTCCAGTTGAACTCTTTTCTTCCAAAAGGAATTCAACTTTTACCTGGAACCTTACAGAGGCAATGCAACAGCAGCGACGTCTTCCTGTGTGAAGAGCTCTCAGTTAATGACCCTCTTTTCTCTCTTCTCTCTCACTCTACCCATCATCCGCACGCCTCTTTTTGCATCCGCGCGCGCACGTCTGTGAGGTAGTGCTAGTGACGCGTCGTTCTGTCATTTACGTTACAGCAAACATCCGGTGTCACTTTGCGATGGTGGTGGTGGTGGTGGTAGTGGGGGATGCTTTCAAACAGGTTTTGACCAGCATCATTGACCACCAGACTTGCTGTCACTTGGTGGACAGCACCGCCGCCAGCAGACTGTCTCCTCGATTGTGCAATGCAATCGACGACGATGCCTCCACTTCTTAATAGTCACTCGACTATTACTCAAAGGGATGGAAAGTATGTGAAGGAAGAAAGAGGCAGTGAGCCATTATGAGAAAGGTCATCAATGCGGCTTCCTCTATCTCCGTCCATTGACTGCTATCTCTGTCGCTCAACTGACAACAGCGGACGCATGCGTCTGATTCTGCTTTCCAAACGAGTTTATCGCACTCTGGCGTCAGCAGACTTCCGCGCGTGCAAGAAAGAGAGAGAGAGAGAGAGAATTCGGTTGCGAAATATGTCTTAGGAGGGGTTATCGGTCACCTCATTCGCTGGGCTGCATTTGCATGAATTCAGTGCGCAATGGACACTCACTTTTTTCGATTCGGCTCCTCTCGTATCCCTCCACACACGTCGCCAGTGGAAAGAGTGTGCTCCAGTGAGCGCACTCCTCCGAGAGTCGCAGAGTGCAGAGAGACTCTCTGCGCGCGCTGGGACGGGCTGGTCGTGGATCTGCTGGCGCTGCCGCTGCTGAGGCCTACTACGTCTACGTGACCGCTCCGACCTTTCACCCTACCGAGAATGGACTTGCGCGCGCATGTGTGACCGCCTCTATTCTCCAGTGGCAACTATCCTCCACCTCGAGCAGTGGGCAATACACTCTCCCATGCTCGATCAGAGTCGCCGTTGCGCCAGTCTCTTTCTCTCTTTCTCTTTCTTTCTCTCTCTCTCTCTCTTTCTTCCTCTGCTCTGCTCCCCCGATCGATGTCTTCTTTCTCGCAGTAGTGTTGTGTCAGTCAGAGTTTGTTCTCCGCTGACGGAGGTCCTCGCACTGCCGCCGCCGCCTGCGTGCATCCTCTCTCACCTGCCTTTTAATCGCCCCACACAATTCACCCTCTCACCATCTGTCCGTCTCACTGTGCGAGCACACCGATCACAGCATCTCTTGAATATTCCCCGCATATTTACCACACTTACCTCAGTGTTTGTCCTGCTTAAAAAGGTTACCTCAACGATTGTGTTCATTCTCTACTGCCACCTCTTCCGATCTTCTCGTTCCCTTTAATTCGTATTTGCTCTAGTGGTACGTCACATCAACTTTGTTTTATTATTATTTACTTGCAGTGTGTGTGTGTGTGTATGTGTGTTCCTGAACATCTTAAACTAGATTTGATTTAGTGCTTTTAATTTAGATAAAGTCATTTTTCTCGCTCGTCTCTCGTCTGCTTTTGTTGTCAAAACAGGCTGCGAGGTTATTTGCCTCTGATGTGTTCGTCTGCTGTACATGCTATTTCAAGTGATTTGATTGGCTCTCTTCGAGTTAGCCCCTTGGCCGGCGTCCGCATAGCATCGCTCTTATGCAATCTTGTTCTACTACTACTACTACCCCAGCTATTATATAAGGAGCCTTCTTAAGGAAACGTGCCTGTGTGCTGCTATTTTTCGGCCTTCAAAATAAGGCCATCATTAGTGGCAGCTGTGTGGTAGCATCTCCGCGAACATGCGCATCTTTTCGCTGAGAATGGGCGATCAATCAACTGCACAAAAGTGTTTATAGTAGGTCCATCCTCAAACCTGAACTTTCACCTCTCTATCTCGCTATTTTTGGATGACACATTAGAAAGCTGCAAGGGAATATTCCGAGGCGGCTAAGCTCTAGTATACCAGTTGTGCGTTCACTCTCTGTTCGCCTCTTTAATCGTGAGTCGCTGCTTACTGCGCTACAGTTGTGGTAGTTCGCTCTGTTGACCTACCCCTCCTCTCCCTCTCCCTCTCCTTCTATGTGTGTATGTAGCTCGACACAATGAGCAGAGCATATGTGGCGCTCAGATGGAGAAAGGGCATTGTAATGAGCGATTGAAGTAAGCACTAGCAGGCACAATATTGGACAATAGTGCACCACTGTCCCGGTGCTACCGACTTTGGCCTGGGACTTTGGCCAAGGCCTAGCTCGGCCACACGAGTGTGTGTCCAGGAGAAGGGCAGGGGGTGATCTTTTAGGGCCACTAATTCACAACGAGAACATTCTCCCGCCTGAGGCGGTCAGAGAATGACAAATGCCGCTGGTTGGTCAGAGTGGACCTGCTGTGTGGTTCTCCATTCTTGCGTTCTGAGACTAATTGCCACTCTACTTCTTATCTAATTACCATTCTCCAGGGCAATCAAAGCTTTCAAGCAACTCATTTACGTCGATCCTTCATTCTCGAGAGTCAACGAAGCTCACATTCGTCTTGGTCTCATATTCAAAGTTCAAAAGCAATTCGGCTTGTCCTTCAAGGTAATTTAAAAGCAGAAACAGATACTTGGCTTTTATGATATTATTTTATGATTTGCAATGCTCTTGGAGCTTGCGTGCGCAATGTTTATTGACGTTTCTTTCTTTTTCTTTTCGCCATTACTACTAACAGCACTTTCGGCTTGCGCTAAACGATTCCAATCCTTGCTCGTTTGGAAAAAACGAAAGTGAGTACTGATTTGCTGAAGCTTAATTAGCTTATTCATATGTTTAAACTAATGCTCAAACTTTTACTTTTCATAGTTAAATTTCATATTGCTCACCTCTATGAGCTTCAAGGAAATTTCACCACTGCCAAAGAACTATACCTTGAACTGCTTAATGAAAACAATTTAACGCCAACACTTCGCTCTGAAGTTTTTCGACAGCTCGGATGGATGCACTACAATGTTGAAGCACTAGGCGAGAAACAACACCGGCAACGTCTTGCCCTCAACTACATATTGTCCTCAGTGCAGAATAATCCCGACTCCAGTCAGAGCTACTACTTTCTGGGGAGATGCCACGCTAGTCTGAGTAAAATTCACGACGCCTTCATATCATATCGTCATTCAGTGGAAAAGGCTGAAGCAAACGCCGACACCTGGTGCTCCATTGGTAACCTCTATCAGCAGCAGAATCAGCCCTTGGACGCTCTCCAGGCGTACATCTGCTCGGCTCAGCTAAAGAAGGACCACGAGGCTGCATGGACCAACTTGGGCACGCTCTATGAGAATCACGGTCAGGTACATGATGCTTACAAATGCTACATTCATGCTACCAGAAGAAGAGGAACGAAAGCAAACCCAGCTCTCGTGGAACGTCTTCAGTTTCTCAAAACAGCCCTTGCCAACTTTCCCCAAATAGCACCTTCAGGGTAAGTATAGCAACAGCTGATTTGGTTTGTTTCAATTTATAACAACAACAACAAATCACTCGTAGATCACAACAGAAGATACCTTCTCTTGAAGAGGCTTGGAATCATTCCGTTTCAAATGAAATGGCAACACGTCAAAACTCAAACTACCGTCAGCAGATACCTCTTGGTTTGACTCCGGATGAACAGCTCAAGCGTCTAAAAGGCGAATTGTGTTTGCCGGGTCGAATCAACAACTTCAATTCATATCATTTCATTGAACAAAACCACCCAATACATCACAAAATGGTCGAAGGCGTAAACATGAAGCAAACCCACGTTGCAGACTCGTTTGCATTACCAAACTCAAAGATGTCTCCAAGCATTCCAGTTCAGCTGAACAACAATGTTAAGACGCCGCTTTCTTCAGGCACCTTCAACAGCCATCTAATTCATCCTGCCAAAACGAGCCGCTCATTTCGAGACTCTGTCGACAGCGATGCCATGTCAAATCACACCCAGTCGTCTGACGACTCCATCAGCTGCACCCCGGAAGGCAAAGAAACGTATTCTAGTCAGTTTACTAACTTCAACACTGCCAATAGTGTCACCTCGAGTGCGTCATCACTAATCAACAACAACAATAACAACAACAAGGAGGAAGCTGTTGTCGCCTCTATTCTCTGCAACCCCTATCTCCAAATGTCCTCAGCTGACCCTAGTCAGAATGGTGCGTCCAGCACACAGCCTCAATTGAATATTTCTATGACTGCCCAGCAAGTGATTGCAGCATGCGAGAATGTGCCTGTCAATACGAAGATCGTCTCCAGCATCGTTTCCGACTATGGCGAGCCGCCGCTTCCCCCTGATTCACCCTACCCGCCGGTGTTCTGTGAGCCGGATAGCTTCCTCCCTACGCCCTGCATTATGGTGGAGTCAAAGAAGGACGCCTTCGGCATGGAACTGCAGAGAAACTGTCTCCAGCATCCGATTGTCATTATAAGGAACTTGGCCAGCGTGCTCAAGCTAGGTATGTGTTGTCTTTACTCTATGCCTGTCCCCGTTTCTCATTTGCTCTCCACTTTAGACCTGGGCTTGTTCTCCACGAAAACACTGGTCGAATCGAATCCCGATCATACTATCGAAGTGAGGCGACAGCTGTCTCAGCCTTCAGATGCAAACTATGACGAAGAACAAGGGCGCCATATTTGGCCGTGCAAGAGTACACGCTCTCACACTACCATCGCTAAATATGCCCACTACCAGGCATCTTCCTTCAATGAATCGCTCAAGGAAGAAAGAGAAAGAGCCTCTGGGCCTAACTTGAGAGATCCCGAGACTGATTCTAACTCGAATATTCCAAAGTAAGTTCTCTTTTTCCAACTTCGGCTGCTTGTTTACTTACACCTTTTAACTTTCAGACATAGGTTCTTCAAAAATAAGCATAAAATCGTCAAGTTTGGCACCAATGTTGACTTGTCTGAAGACTCAAAGTGGAAGCCTCAGCTTCAAGAGCTTGCGAAGTTGCCGAACTTTGCACGCGTCGTTTCAGGCTTCAATATGCTAAGTCACGTCGGCCATACAATCTACGGCATGAACTCCGTTCAGCTGTATATGAAAGTTCCTGGTTGTCGAACTCCTGGGCACCAGGAGAACAACAACTTTTGTTCGGTCAACATCAACATTGGTCCTGGAGAGTGCGAATGGTTCGGTGTGGCTCCTGAATACTGGGGCGTCATTCACCGCCTTTGCGAGAAGTATGTTTTTAATTTGTTAAAGTTGAACAACATTAATTTAATTTATTGCTTTGCACTTACAGAAACAATACAAACTACCTTCATGGATCATGNATTCACCGCCTTTGTGAGAAGTATGTTTTTAATTTGTTAAAGTTGAACAACATTAATTTAACTTATTGCTTTGCACTTACAGAAACAATACAAACTACCTTCATGGATCATGGTGGCCGCTGCAAAAGGACCTCGAGGCCGAAAACATTCCTGTGTATAAGTTTATGCAGAAGCCGGGCGATATCGTCTGGGTTGGCGCAGGCACCGTCCACTGGGTTCAGGCCAGTGGATGGTGTAATAACATTGCTTGGAACGTGGGACCGTTTACTGCCCAGCAGTATGAACTGGCCATCAGTCGATACGAATGGAACAAGCACGAGCACTACAAGTCAATAGTGCCTATGATTCACCTCACCTGGAACCTTGCTCAAAATATCCGAGTCTTTGATAATGAACTCTTTTCTCTTATGAAGTAAGTGCTCAGTTTAAGGTTTTATTTATTTTGTTTACTACAACTTGTGTTTCTTTTATTTTAGATCTGTTTTATTGCGTTCATTCAAGCACTGCTTAATGGTGGTCAATTTTGTCAAGAGCTTGGGTCATGAAATTCAGTGGCATGGAAGAGGCAAGAACGAGCCTTCTCATTACTGTGCAAACTGTGAAGTACGTACTTAAATTGGTTTAATTTTGGTTTTAATTTCAACACTTTTTTTGTTATTAGGTTGAAGTATTTCACATTTTGTTTGTGAAGAAAATTGACGGTAAACATGTTGTCCACTGCTTTGATTGTGCCCGCAAGGTCAGCCCTCAACTGGATGGTTTTGTGATCCTCGAAGAGCACAAGTTGTCTGAATTATCCGCCATTTACGACAAGTTTGTCATTTATACTTGTTGACTTTAATTTTGGAGAGCCACATCCCTCAAGTTCAAACTGTAAGCTATCCGAAGAATCTTGCCTTATATTACATTCTTACACGAAAGAGCAAACAATTTACAATGATGCACCGCAACACGCCCCCACATACTCTTTCTTGTAGAGTTTGTGATAAATGCACAGTGCTCTCTTATCTCGCTTACCTTGCGTTCGTTACCTGTTTTACACTTTTGTTAGTCATTGATGATGAACCCTGCTCCAATCACCGACCACCACCACCTCCCCAATGTTAGCGTACTTAAGTCAAATCAACCAATCACACCTTTTCTCACTGTACATCTTCAACTATTTATTATTTATTTAACATTCTTCTGACCTTTCTCCTTTCTGTTTGCCCTACTAATATTATTTGCTCATCTGATCTCAATCCAACTTACAAAAATAAAAAAAACTTGTTCAAAAAATTTTGTTGTCTTTTTAAACCAGTGGCGGCGCCACAGTTGCTCAATAAATTGCATCACATTTTCATGTGTGTTACGACTTGTTTACGCGCTCTTTGATGTTTGTTTGGTATCAAGATTCACTAGTTAATCAGCTTTGTAACCAGTTAATTGGCCCTACCTACCATCAACATGGATTCAGAAGATCAGTCAAGTAACGCTGGTAAAGATGACAAGGGCGAAAATCCGCCTGATATGAACGAATCGGAATCCAATGGATTCATCAACTTCAACGAGTATAAAGCAGGACTTGGCAACCTGGATAAGGAGAGAATCAACAAAATAATCCAAGAAGCCAGCAAGGGCTCGCCTTATTATATGCATCAACAAAATCGTCAGAAAAAAGTTGACTTAAAAGTTGCAAGACTTAAAAATGTTTTGGAGTTTGCAACTGAGATTGAGAGAAAAGAAGCTATGGAAGCAGCTGATGCGGCGATTGCTGATTTGGAAACCAGACGAACCCTCAACCGCATTATGGTTCACTTTGATATGGATATGTTCTTTGCCGCCGTTGAAATAAAGAAAAATCCCCAACTTGCTGACAAACCAGTTGCTGTGGGAGGTCTTTCTATGATTTCCACTAGTAACTATGTGGCACGACGATTTGGAGGTACGTTATTTTAAAGTGATTCTTTATATGTTTATGTTTTACTAAATACTTTTAATACTTTTATAGTCCGATCAGCAATGGCTGGCTTCATAGCAAAGCGATTGTGTCCACAATTGATTCTTATACGACCCAATTTTAGAGATTATAAACGAGAAAGCAAAAATGTAATGGACATCATTTCGGAATATGACCCCAATGATATGAGTTGCCTCTCGCTTGACGAAGTTCACATTGATCTGACAGATTATGTTTTTGAAAAGTACTCACGCGAGAGCTCGATTGATTTAAGCGAACTGTACATGTTGACAAAACTGCCTGATGAAATATGGACTTTCGCATACGAGCAAGTTGAACAAATCCGAAGTAGAATTTTTGCGGAAACTAAACTAACTGTAAGTCTATTATAGTATTGTTCATGACAGTTTTTAACAGTTTGTTTAATTTTTAGGTGTCTGCAGGCATAGCATCAAATACAGCACTTGCTAAACTTTGCACGGACATAAATAAGCCCAATGGCCAGTTTTTGTTGAAAGGAGATAAAGATGAAATTCTTAAAATGACAATGGATCTACCGATTCGCAAGTTTTTCGGCATTGGCCCTGTGACGGGTCAACTTTTGAATGGCTTGAACATATGCAAAGGAAAAGACATCGTTGATCGTCGAGATGATCTGGTCATCATTTTTTCTGAACAATCAGCCAAGCATTTTCTTCGAACAGCGCTGGGTATTGGCTCTTCGTTTATTTCAAATGATAGGCAGCAAAAGTCGTATAGCTCTGAAAGAACGGTCGGCGATCTGAACAACTTTGCTGATATGTGCTCATTGCTAAAGAAGACTAGTCAACATGTGGCAAATGATCTGAAATCCAACGAGCAAGTTTGCAAAACAGTCACAGTTAAACTGAAAAATGTCAAATTTGAAACTAATATTAAGTCAAAAACGCTCAACACTTATGTTGATGATGAAGAGACCATTTTGAAAACTGCTACAGATTTGCTGTCACAGGAAATGGCCAAATCACCTTCTACACGCTACCGACTCTTGGGCGTCAAAGTATCAAACTTAAAAGACAAGAAAGACGCTGATAAACCTACATCCAAGCAGCTCACAGTAACTCAGTTTTTCCATACTCGTTCCGAAAATTCCGAAACTTCTGAACAAATAAGTGATAATGATTCGAGCGTTCATTCAGAAGTTAGCAGCAATTACAAGTGCAGATTTTGTAACAGGGCATTCGAGCATTGTGATGACTTTGAAATGCATCGTATGCAATGTGAAGAATGCAACACTGATCTGTCAGAAGACTTCCTAACTGAATTGGATCAAAACGAATGGAGCAATAGTGCTCCTGGATCAGAACTAAATTTGTCTGAAAGTGAGCATAACTCTATTGATCAAACCGAGGCCAATACATCTTCATCTTCAATTTCTTCGTTTTCAAATCTACGAGTCGAGTGCCCCGTGTGCCAATTGAGCTTTATATGTAAAAATAACTTTTTGTTTAATGAACATCTCGACAATTGCCTAAACAAAAGTTGTCTTCGTGAGCTATCGGAAAACCCAGTTACTCCAGTTAAGCAAAGCCCCCCTCCGAAAACGGTTGCAAAATCGAAAACGGTCTCAAAACCAAAAACGGGCTCACAACCGAAGCGAAAAATGACTCCTTCTAATAAGAAATCTAAGAAGCAGAAATCAAATGTCGAAGACACATCTCAGCTTAAGATTGATCAGTTTTTCAGTAAGAAGTAAAGTCCTTTGATTCTTTTTGAGACACAATCCAATTTGACATGTTTTGCCTATGCTTATCCGATTACCTCCATGTTTTTACGCACACAATATTGTTTTGTTTTATGTTTATGCCACTATTGCCGGCAATAAAGGTATCTGTGATGGTGAAAGTACCTTTCTGTCAATTGTCGCCTGTTTGCTATCGATAATTTAGTACACCTTTTACGACTGTGGTAACTTTATTGGCTCGAGTTTACGAGTGCTGGAAGCCATCAGCATTGACAATTGGAGTCCCAAGTAGGGCGAGCATCAGTGCAACCATTGCTGCACCTTTTGTTGTCTCCTTAGCCGCAAAGTTCCTCTCAGTGAATCACTTCATTGCCGCTGTGTGTGTGTGAATGAGTGAGTATGTGCTAGTGCACTAATTGCAGGCAGTCGTACAAACATGTGTGCGGGGCACCGAAGCACTGACGAGCGAAACCTGGCACTGTGTTGCTTGCGGTCGGGGCAGTGGCACTCGAGCAGCGGCCGTACCGCATCAGAAATACCTCAATGAGGTAGGCAGGCAGGCAGACGGCCGATCGATTGAACGGCGTGTCAGAGAGAATTGAGTGGTCCATCTTAACTAATCGCCTGCCAGTCTACTACCAGAGAGGGAGAGAGGCAACAGCGGCAACTGAGATTAGTTGCAGTCTGCCTTGGAGTGCACTGGGAAGAGAGCGGTGGAGACGTGAGAGTAAATGGTAGTGGATCGATCGTCAGGCAGTGCTGAGTGCCGGTGAGCAGTGACGGCGATGCATTTAGCAGTTCCACTTGTACAGCTCTTGCCCTGTACAGTCTGATTGGTGTCGCCCGAGTGGAACATGGCTGCACTGGCCCCACTGGCTCAGGGGGCTCTTACCACGAAATCAATTGCCAAGGGTTCAGGGAGGGAGGGAGAGAGAGAGAGAGAGGGCAAGCAAGAGAGTCAGGACAGGAATTTCGCCTCTTTCAATAAGGCCTGTTCCTATTCAGAAGCGATTAAATGTCGACTATTTGAGACTATGGTGGCCGATAAGTGCCGGTGTGCTGTCGCCGCCAATTCAAAAGCTCTCATCTTGGCATCCGTTTAGCAATGTATTCAAATTTAATGCAGCTTTTGCGCTGCAGATGCACCGCCGATTGTGCTCACTGAAAGTGAAAGATTTTCTTTTTACAAGAAAAACCCATGCGTAGGTTGACTTGCAAATGGGCCCTACTTTGCTGATTTCCGCACTAATTTATTTTAAAACGGAATTTAATTGTCGGTACTTAATTGAAAGGTCAGAGCGTCGATTGAAGACGAATATTAATGAAGGAGCCTTAGAGATTCAGTCAGCGTCTGCACTGGGCGACGTGTCCGAGAGTGGATGCAAATGAGAGTTGACGTCAAGCAGCCTTGTCGAAGGGGCTGTGTGCGTGTGTGTGGCAGTACGGCCGTTCTAGGTTGTTTATTCGACAGCTTCTAATTAGTACTCTACTTGCTGAACAGAGTGCCCTCACCTATATAACAAGCGCGACGGCGTTGGGTGACTATGTGTATTGTGCCCTGTGACTGACTGGCCGAGGCATTGGCGATTCGATGGGAATGCTCAATAATTTAATATGTCCTGTGCATGTGCTGCTTTTTGCTTTGATTTTTAAATAGATTCGAGGAAGTGCATCGCTGCCGTGCAGGGCTGCAGATGCCAATGGTGGCCTTTCAGCCAACAGGATGGACTGAACACTGAAGGCGGATGGATGGTACTGGTAATGGTGGTGGTGGTGGTGGTGGCAGAGCCAACCAACAGGGCCGGTGCCAGCAGTGCCGGTGCCACCGATGCGCCCACCAGTCTGCCGAGGCCACAGTCGCTCATGGCAGCGCCGTTGATGGCAACAGCAGCTCCGGAGACGACAGCTCCGGCGGCTGCAGCCGCATCGAAGAGAGGCACAACAATGCAGCAATAAAGTGCAGCCAATGTGCCAAGAAGAATAAGATTACTTTAATAATGCTAATAGGCAGCCTATAGATAGAGTGTGCTGCTAGGGAAGGGGACAGCAGCAGCCGCTGCACTGACTACTACGATGGCAACTGGATATGGAACGGTGCCGTCCTGGTGGCCTCTCACCGTACACTCGCCAAGGTATGACGCAGGTAGGAGAAGTACTGTTCACTCTCTGGCGCTCAGGCGGCATGCTCGCTCCTCTCCAGGGCAAAGGCCACAAAGACAGTAGTGTGAGGAGCAGCAACCACTACTCACTTGGCGGAGAATCTTTTTCCTTTGCAGAGCACTTCGAAAGGGAGACTCTAACGGTACATTGCGATGCACTCCTTTGTCTGCCGTACACGCACTCTCTTGCTTCACTGCTCTTTCGCTTGGAGCTTTCTTCTGGTTCAGGCGTTGGTGGTAGTAGAGGCGATGGTGAAGGCAGCCTTTTCTTCTTTCACTTCCCACTGCCGGCTGGCACTGCTTGGGTCGTCTTCTGGTAGGCAGGAAAGGAGAAAAAGAGAGAAAGAGAGCTCACACCTAAGCAGTCTGCCTAGCAAATATAGCTCGGGACGATCTGTCTGCCTGTCTGCCTGAGCAGCACCAGGCCGCGATCGACCTAACGAAAACAATCGAACAGCGCAGTCGTGACCGACCAGAAAAGGTAAGACCAATGGGTCGAGGATGTCTAGTGTCTGCTGTGTCTGTGCGCTGGTAGTGCTGCTGCTGCCGTTTCTGGTGCTGGTAGAGTGTGCCGTCATTTGGCGAGTGTAGTCTACTACTCCGACTTACAATCGCAAATCCGAAAGTGAGTGCTAGCGAAGTAGTAACCAGTCAATATCATATAGCGGCTGCTCTGGTGGCCGCAACCGCCGCTGCCTCTGCCGCCGTCGCCGTCGCTGTCGCCGTCGCTGATGCTGATGCCGCTGGCTGCCACTCACACTCGACGCTCCTCACTCGCGGTGTGCCAATACCGAGCCAGAGAAAGATGTATCGCAAGGCAGTCAATTCTTGCCATTTATTACTATTGTGATGTGAGGAGTGATTGTGCATCTGCCTCTGTCTTACATTGCCCACCGATCGGTATTGACAAGCAGACGTTCGTACGTTCGTGCCTGTAGACAGCGGTGAGCTGCTGCTGCTGCTGTCGCCCTCGCTGCCACTGCCGCTGCCTCGCTGCCTGCCCCTCCCGTCGCCTCAGTGGAAGGCAGTGTGCCCACTTTCCGCCAAACACCACCGCCGACCCGCGATCGCAGATTCCAGTGCCCCGTGTTCAGCGGATTGAGCAGTCCACCTTCCAATCGGACGGCTATCAACAACTCATCTGAAGGTGCACCTGCTCCTTTACCGACCGAAGGGGTAGTCGCAATCTCGGAGGACAAGCAACACCAGCCAGCTTCAATATCAGAGGTGCAGTAGCAGCCACCAAGGGGGCCACTTGTATCGTCACCAGCCACCGGTCGCAGAGTGAGAGAGAAAGGCAGAACACGAGAGTGAGAAGGCGAGTGTCGGTGACTACTACCAGCGACCTCGATCACTGCTGTTGGCGTGATAGCCTCTCCTAACGGTATACCATCTTCACAGCATTCAACCAATTTTGCTGTCCAATCAGCTGCAGCACCAGTAGCTCCTTTGATCGATGTTCCATCAGTCTGCTCATCTCTCGCTGAAGGCACATCTGCTCAGCTACCAACTGATCACTTCTCCCTTCCTACCTCCACACCCAACTCATTCAGCAGCACTGTGACGCTCTGCAGAGCTTCACGGCAGGAAAAGAGGCTTTAACTTGAAAGAAGGCAAACTCCTATTTGACATTTCATCATTTCATCTCTCTCTGCGCAAGCACTTTTCAGTGTACGACATCAGCCTCAGTTAGCGATACTAATTGGGCGCACCAGTGATCGGTGTTAGTGGAGGCACTTGTACTCGTCAGCGAACAGCACACAGCACACAAACACAGACACAGCACTCATCCTGCATCAACAGCAACAGCATCAGCATCATCTCTGGCAACCGCTGCAGCAGTGAATCGAATCGAATGGGCGCCCAGTGAGCCGTGCCCACTACCACCGCCCGACAGCACTCGTCCTCCTCCTGCTCGCTCCACCAGGCAGCTCATCGCCAGCACCGTCAGCAGCGCCACTCCCACCCCATTGAAATCGATCATCATGTCTCACTCCCAGTACGAAATACCCGCCGAGCTCAACAATCTGCTGATTGACTTCACCGTCAGCGTCCTTGTGAATCGACCGTCAGATCTGGTGGAGTACGCGGCGGCACACTTTAACCGGCTCCTCGAGGAGCGCCGCAATTCAGTGGCCACCAATCACAGTGCGCTTGGCAACCACTGCAACGACGAGGAAAATGATAATGACTCAACTTCGAGCGATATAAGTATGGGATCACTTATCACTTGCCAGTAGAATGTATTTGCTCACTTTTTTCTCTTATCAACTCTGCAGAACCTCCAGCAAGATTATCGTTCACCAGACGCAAATCAGGTAATGCCTCGCCGGTGTTGTTGTTTATTGTTTAATGTTTATGTCAATGTAACATGCTGACGTGTTTGCGTTTCTCTCATTAGTGTTTGCTGAACATTACGACCCGGAAGAAGATGAAGAAGAAGTGGAAAAGGTTTGTTTTGCCTTTATTCATTTACATGTTGTTGGAGTCTGATCATGCCATTGCCTTTTGAATAGATTGTTCACCCAAAGAGCGACGTGCAAAGACAACGTCTAAGTGAAGCAATCAAGAACATTCTTCTCTTTCGGTCTCTAGAACCGGTGAGTGTTTTTGAGTGCCTAACTTTGGGCAGTTGCTCACGCTTAAACTATCCTCCAGAGTGAAATGGGCGAAGTTATCGATGCCATGTTCGAGCGAAAAGTAAGTGTCCCTGCACAGTAGCGAGTGAACACACAACTTGGTTGGCTGACGCTACTTTCTGTTAATTAGGTTGAGTCTGGGGAGATGGTCATCCGACAAGGCGATGACGGTGACTTTTTCTACGTCATATCGGAGTAAGTGTCAAGTGAATGCGCCAAATGGCTCTCGCCTGGGCACCTTCTGACTGCTTCTTCTTCTTCTTCTTTACTAGTGGCACATTTTCTATAGTTGTTTCTAACGATGATGGCACTGAAAAAGAAGTTGGCAAGTACGTCGGTAGTGGAAGTTTCGGTGAGTTGGCACTGATGTACAATATGCCCCGAGCGGCTACAGTGCGAGCCATCACAAAAGGCTCCTTGTGGGCAATGGTAAGTTTCAGTAAATCCGTTATTTTACAAATAAACTAAATAAAATAAATCCTTCGTTTCCTCACCGTTTGTAGAACCGCAGTACATTCAGACGAATTGTTCTTAAGCGAGCGTTTATGAAGCGTAAAGAGTACGAGTCATTCATCGAAAAGGTGGAAATTTTCAAGCAACTCGAGGTAATAACTAGACTGCCGTAAAAGTCGCAAGGAAATGACATTTTCTCTGTAATAAATTTTTCCGGTACAGTATTATGAGAAAATGTCTCTCAGCGACGCATTTCTGGCCCGTAATTACAAGCAAGGCGATAGGATCATTAAACAGGTAGGTCGTTTAGCATTAACTGCTCTGCTATGAAAACACTAATGCGAATCATTCATGGCCTCCGTGGCAACGTTTCAGGGCGACGAAGCTGATGGCATGTACTTTGTCCAGGAAGGAATCGTGCGAATATTAAAGTTTGATGAGGTACGCTAATTGCCTGGGCACTGGTTGCTTACAGATAGAAAACTCATTACTGTAATCACATTTAGGAAACTGGCAAAGAGCAGGAGCTGTCTCGAGTCGAGAAAGGCGGTTATTTTGGCGAACTGGCGCTGATCACTCACAAACCTAGGGCTGCTTCGGTGTACGCAATAACTCCCGATGTTAAATTGGCATGTAAGTGCCGCTTGTGTGTATTACTGCTTATGGCTCACTAATCGGTATTTATTTATTGCACTACTTTCAGTTCTCGATGTGCACGCATTTGAACGTCTGCTCGGTCCGTGCATGGATATTATGAAGCGCAACTTCAACCACTACGAGGATCAACTAGTCAAGCTGTTTGGCTCCAAGTCTAATGTAGCTGACCTGAGATAAACGCTCACCGCTGACCAATGTAAACACGTGCCAAAGAAGCCGCAACAATGCCCTACCTCCAAAAGGGCACCTCTTCCTCCTCCTCTGTCCACCTAACTTCAGTACTACATTGAAGCCCTCTCAGTCGGGCGCAGTCCCTCCCAGTCCTCATTCTTTTCTGTCCCAGTTTTCTTTCACCCGAAAACTCTCTCTCCTTTGTACCTACCAATATTTTCCCCACCTCTTTCGTCCACAGATTATGCGACGATGATCGCTTTGCATAAAAAATAACGATCGATCAACATGATCAGATCAAAATAAATATTCTTTGTTTCCCAAATAGTTTGCAATCATCAAAGTAAACCACTGCTGAAAGTCACCTTGTTATCTTGCAAAACCTCTAAACTTTTATCTAATCTGTTTTTTATTTTACTATTACATTTTCCAAAGTATATTGACTAGTATTTTCAGGTAGTTATTATGATTTTTAAATTTCAAAAAGTGTAAATATTATCTGCTTAACCGAATAAACAGTTTATCATTATGAAGTCAACGTTTTGTTAGTCTGCCGTTTTAGCGCGGTTTTATTGAAACACTGAATAACGTGCTATGTGAAAGTTAAATTGAAAAATGTATTTTTAACTTGAAAAATATTGATATTTTTAGTTTTGGTCAGCTAGAGTCATCTTTTATCGTATAAATGTTGTAATGTAAATTATCTAAAAGATATTGGAACAAGGCTGAGAACTATCACTTTGATCGAAACCAGAGTGAGTTCCTTGACACTTTGGGATCTTCTGTTTGTAAATAAATAAATGACAAAGCTCCGCCTACGCATTCGCACCCATGCTTCTCAAGTCTGTCTGTCTGTCTGTTTGGCTATGCCAAAATCTGCAGCCGCTGCTGTCTCATTCTCGAGTGATCGCTCCTGGTGAACTGACCGTTCAGCAATGGATCGCCTACGGAATATCGATTTGAATTCTTTTCCCTTCAAGTTACGTTTCTCGCCCACAAACAAAGTTTACAAAGAAATCCTTAGCATTTCGTCGGAGATCCACGCTTCTTTTCTTAAGCTGAACCGTGAAATTCATGACAAGAATGAGATCAAAAACATTATAAGTAAGTCAATACCACTACAAAAACATTGCTGATTAACTTATCATTTCTAGGAGATCATTTTGCGTTTATTAAAGAAGTCTTGCGAAAGACAGTGCAGTACTATGATTCAGAGTCTTGCCCAAACGTTTCAGAGGAGGAAAAGTTTGCTAGAAAGAAGCAAATGGAAGAGAAGCTTCTGTGCTACTATGAAGACGAGCAGGAGATTAGCTGTTTCGAGAGAATCAAACCAATTACAGTCAACGTTTCTTCAGTTCCATCTCATTGGAAGTGTTTGACCTGGAAAAAGTTTTCCTCTTCTAAAGTGGATAACAACCAGCAACGTGGTGAGTGATAAGCGAAGATAATTTTTATGATTGCAATGTTCATTCCTTTTTATCTGGTTTTAGCAGATTCAGCTGATCGCATAAAGCAAATGACTAAAGCTGATAAAGTGAGTGATAATGATAATCTGGATCAGTTCGCTGATGATCTCGAAGAAATATGTAGCTCAATTAGAACGCTCAGCCATCAAGTTCAGCTTTTGCAAAGTAAACTCAACTTGCTAAATGATTACATCATCCGGCTGTACTTGAATTTTAAAAATAATCTCCGAGTTCTAGTCAAGTTTAACCGTCAGTTTACGACTGAAGATGTTGAAAACGATTCTCGTTTGCAAAGTATCAAAAATGACGTGGCAACTATTTTCGAAATTGAACAAAAAGTTGACTTTTTCTCAAAATCACCGAGTGCTTATCATTTGAAGATTAACAATTTTGAGTCCATTCACATTCAACTGAAAACATTGGAGGCTGCTTCAAACTGCGTGAAAAATACAGGTAATTTTAAATGTGAATAATCTACTTTTATTTTTTCATTCATTTTTGTTATAGACGTGAATAGCAACTACATTGGCGAAGTTTACTCCGGCAACCAATCTGGCGTTCAGTAGTTCAACAAGGCCAACTAAGTTTGAGAAGCTTTCAAATTGTTTTAATAATTATGTAAAATATAACATTTTCTTTTATGTACAAATAAGTCAATTTGTAACCGATTCGATACTAAAAACAGTCAACAACGACCATAGCAGTATATGGCTCAGTAATTGTAAACAGCAATAACAAATGTATATAAATGATCACCAGTAATATATATTCTTAACAATATTCTATTATTCTTGTGAAAATCCCTCAGTTTCTTCAATTGCAAAGTTCAACTTTTCCACTAATTGCGAATAAGATTTGTACGGTGGAAGGTCAATTCTATTAAAACAAGTATGACTTCGCGGTAGCCAGTTCTCTTTGCCGACTTTCTCAATGCAGAACCGTTGCGGACCATTGGAGCCCATTAGCTCGGAGAAGCCGCCGACCGGAACACGGCATGTGCCTAGAGTGAATAAAACAGTTCTTAGTTCTTGCGAACAGGTCAACGACAAAAGATTAAGACGTACCTGTTACAAACTGAAGTAGACGAGCGCGCTTTTCATTGTCGCACTCTTCTTTAACAAACTGCCAGAACCAGATGATCTGCCGAGAGTTGCGAGTGTAGTGTCGGAAAATGGTGTTTCGCTGCCAATCTTCAATGTCAATCTCCTGCATGCCACAGAGCAAAAGCTCCAGCTCGCGTTCGTCAAAGTAGTGCAGCCACTCAAGAGGCAGCACCTCGTTGAATCCGTCCAAGAACGCCTTAGTTTGCTCTTCTTGACCTGGAGAAAAAGAGTGTCAGCATCCCTTGTTGTGGACTAAGCACTTAAAAACTGCACAAACCTCGGCTGAATCGCCAATCAGTCATTAGTCGCAGATACTCTTCCTTGTTTTCATCGTCGACGCGTAGATCACCACCGTTTGGAACTAGTTCATGCGACTGGATCTGTCCAAGTACTTCGAAGTCTACCGAAAAGTACAGGTCAAGACCACAATCATCGACAGAGTTTTCTCTGAAAACAAAGATCATGAGTATTAAAAAACTGAAAAACTTTAAAGCTGAAAATAAAATACTTTATCCATTTTAAGGAGTTGTAAAACTCTGGATCAATAGACTCAATGTCCTTCATCACTAGCTTCTTTCCTAGCATTCGCTTGTAGAAGGGAAGCGTAAATCCAGAGTAGATAAACTTTCCATGGAAAAGTGCCTAGAAAGCAAAAAGAGTGCTTAGCATTTAGTCTCAAAACACAAAAAAATAGCATACCATTGCAATAAATCGGCCAATGAATCGAAAGTACAGAAGATGATCAGGATTAACAGAACTTGCCGGGTTAATCTGAAGGGAATAGTTGTTCTTGCTTGCATACTCAAACAAGCAGTACATTGGATTGAGGACCTGCATTTATCAGGAGTGAAAAAGTGAGTAGGTAAGGTAAAAACCGTCGTGGGAAGAGCAAAACAAACTTACCTCGTGAGAGAGAAGGAAGAACCACTCTCGGGCAATGCCACCGTAGTCGAGTCCTTCTTCACCTCGGAAGGTAATAAATAGTCGTCTTCGTAATTCGTGTGGAGGCACTCGCATTATTGCGTGAAATGAATCTTCAAATATGTTTGTTCGGGAAACTTGAATTTTGATGTGACTGGGCAAGGCATTATAAAGACACAGGTATCTAAACTGCGTCAACTTCCACCGGAACGACCGCTCATAGGTGGCGGGCACTCCATACTGTCCGTTCGCCTTTCGTGGGTCTTGGAAGGTGGTCGTCTTCGTGTTGTGGTCCACAAAATATTGCTGATGATCTGGAGTGTATTTGATCTCCCAGCCCTGAGGCAAGGCCAACTCAGCGAGGGGTGGAGTTTCCTTTCCTTGTGTTCTGGGATCTTCCCATTGGGTTGTCTAAATGTTCGCCAATAGAAATAGCTTAGTTTACCAGTTCAGCAACAGTGAACAACGACGATCAATTACCTTGTTTTTGTGATTCACATAGTACACCCGGCCGTTGGGATCCGTTCTCTTTTCCCAGCCTTCAGGCAGCGGAGATGCCTCCTCTTCAGGCGCTTGTCCATTGGTAAGGCCATTAGCTACGGCTCCATTTCCTGATTGGTCGTAGAGGAATCGCTGCCCACACTGCTGCATGACTGTACCTTGCTGAGATTGCCAGTGTTGATAGTTGCGCACATGTTCAGGAGTTGGTCGCTGCCATGTTGTGGTTCTAATGAGTGAAAGAGCCAGGGTTTAAATCCTAAAAACTGCCTTTATCAAGTCTACTAGTATTACCTGGTATTATGATCGACGTAGTAGATGCGTCCTTTATTGTCTTTTCGCATTTCCCAACCACTGGGTAGAGGTAATGGTCGCTGCCATGTCGTAGACTTGGAATTGTGATCAACATAGTATTTCCTAATATTGAAAAAGTTATTAATACAAAACAGATTTGACAATGCGCGGTTTGACGTACCTCCCATAGGAGTCAAACCGAATCTCCCAGCCAGCAGGAAGAGCCTCTTCAACTGGCGCTGCTGGAGCATTGGATCGATTCGGCGGCTGCCCATTAGTCATTGGAGGAGTGGTCCCCGAAGTGGAAGGCATAGGTGCAGACGGAGTTCGAGAAGGGCTAACTGATGGATGTTGTTCATTTGCGCTGGCACTACTGCCAGGCAAGTTTGCCGGCGGAAGTACACTTGCAACTGCAGTGGAATTGACTGCTGTAGGAGCTGGATTAACTGCTACAGCTGGAACATTTGCAGTTGGAGCATTCGCCGCCGTCGCCACCGGAGCAGCGGCGGCTGCAGCGGCAGCTGATGAAGAGAGCGGATCTTTCACTGACCACTTGGGCAATGAGCTAGTAATTTCAGCAATCACATTGTTGGTTTCGTATACTGTAGATGTACTAGGCTGAGAATCAAAGTTTAAAGATGAAGTAGACGGAGTTATGGTGCTTGCAGCAATCGTTGTATCACTTTGTCGATCTTCAAGACTGGAAAGTTCCTTCTCAGGAAACTGGGACATGTCCACGACTAAACCATCTAGACTAATAGACAAGTTGCTTGGTCCGCGATTAGAAATAATTGACTTGTGGTTATTAGGTGGAAGCTTTAGTGTTAAGGCGAGTTTTAATTTATTAAAAGTTCCATTATTTTTGCGTAGAACATCAAAGATGTCAAGAACTGCTTCTCCAATCAAGACATCCTTTTTCAACGAGTTACGGTTGAATACTTTGAGAGATATTTGAGAGTAAGGCGATACCGAGCTAGGATTTTAATCAAAACCAATAAATTAGATTAATAAATAAAAAGGGTGTAAATACCACATACAGATAAAACGTTTCATTCCACTCCGGATTATTTGTAGAGCGATTGTAATCAGTTTTTTGCGTGCTGGTTGAGGAGTTGTCCACGGTGAGCGCTACATAAGGGTCAGGCTTAAAGACGGAACTGCTTGAGAGCTTAGCATTCAGAACTTTACAGGTGAGGCGTAGTAATGGTAGCGTAATAAAAGGCAGTTTTGGAAGGTCAAACTTTTGATTAGTCACAAAAATACCATTTTCCTACCTGTAAACTTCAGTTGAAACTTATTCTGCGACATTTGCCTGGACAATTTAATTAACACTGGGACACTCAAAAGTTAAGCCAATTAGCAAGGTGCATTACAGAGTCAGATCAGCTGAGAGAGGTGCTAGCATGAAGAGGGGAGGCAGTCTGTCTGTGTGTCTGTGTTATGGCGTCATTAAAGTTGGTTGAAATCAGCTGTTGGGATGCGTCGAGAGAGGATTAGCTGGACCGGCAAATGATGTTTTAAAGGTGATTTGTTAAAAAGATGGGTGTGTAAAATCAGACTTAAAATCAGGCATTGAAAATGCAAAATGCCAAACAAAAATATAAGCAATAAAAAACAAACAGTCCCAAAAGCCTTCAGAAACTCAATTTTTTTAAAGAGGCTATTCAAAAAGTACGTGTCACAGTGTGTTAACTGTTCAAAGTAACGATGACCCAATTAATCTGACTTTGGAGCGCAGCACCAGAGACCTTGACGATGGTCACTCGGCTTGAAACGGTTCAAAGAAATAATTGCCTCTGGCCTGTGACCCCTTTAAAGTGCTGGTCGTGGCGCCTGTTTAGGTCCAGCAGCGAATGTATCTGAAAGCCAAGGAGTGAGAGAGAGAGAGAAAGAGAGAGTAGTGTGAGTCAGCGAGAGACAGACTACTACGCGTCAGCGCCTGACATTTGCCTGTCCAATTAGCAATTAGCCCTAATCACCTAATAACCGATTGTGACAAAAACTGAACTCTTTTCTCTTTCCGTGTTCTTGCTTTCCGTTTCAGGTCAAAAGCACTTGATTGCCTGCTGGCTGCAGTCGCCGCAGTGGGCGGTCCCACCGCCACTTGCTCATCATCAGAACCGCTTGTTGCATTGGGTTTCATCTTCTTTGGGCAACCTCACCGCAACCGCCACCACCACCACCACCACTACCGTTAACAGCAGATGCTGACGGGTGTGAACATTAGAGTTCACTTGAATGGAAGACAGGCTAACAGCTTTTGCTGACTGTCTTGCACGGGCGGGCCGTCGGACAGAGCGACTAACCGCACCAGATTGCAGTGGGGAGAATATTCAAAGTGGTGCAAAATTTAGCGCAGAATAGAAACTCGAGCTTTATTTGGCTCAGCTCTCCGGCTCAGTCAGTGGCGTCATCCAAGCAGTGCGATACACTCGATCAAACGCGAGTAGCAAAAACAAACGGCCTGTTGCCAAGCTGAGGCGGCAGTCGTGGGCACTGTCATTGGCACTGGCAGTGGACAGCAATGCAAGCGAGTGCAGCAGCAGTCTGACACCTTATCAGACTGACAGTGTTGCAGCGACAGCGCACCGGTGAAATTGGACGTCACATTGCTGCGAGTCTGTTCGGACCGATAACCAGCGACAGATGTATGTGATGCTGCTGCTGCTGCTGAAGCTGAGCAGAGACGCAGTTGCTGACAAAGTGAGAAGTGACAAACACAGTGAGAGACAGGCCAACTAAACAACCAACTCACAACTGGCGCATTTCCTTGCGCCGGTGCCAGCTCTCGTACTGCAGGCATACTCACCTTCACTCTTCACCCTTCACCCTCTTTGCCATTTACCGGAGCAAAGTGTGATAATGACTAACTCGGGAACTGATTCGGGTTCATCTTACCGCACAACTCATTTTGGAACCCACTGGTGGGCAGACGTCCACAGAGGACGCTACTGATTGTGGTGGAAGGAATGCAGAGAGTTCTCTCACAGTTCGAATCCGTTCCTTTTTGCTCACTGCTCTGGGAGAGTAGCGTCAGTCAGTCTGTCTGTCTACTCTTCCAGTGCAGTGAAGAGAAAGTATGGATTTTCCATGTGCTTCAACTTTCTGCCTGTATTTGGGCGGGGGCACCAGTAGCGCCGAAAGTATTTTGCCCGGGCAGTGGACTGCTAGGACCAGGAGGAGTGCGGTCAAAGGAAGAGGAGGAAGAGGGGAAAAGGGAGATGGCAGAGGGGGAAAGTGGCTTCCACCGGAGCCACTAGTGCCACTCGTGTCGGATGCAGAGGGCGCAAAAGGCAGTGGCATAGAGATGAGTGCGGGTGAACGTGGGCAAGACTTTGCTGCTAGTCAAACAGAGACTTTTTCCATCGCTGCCAAGCGCGTACTACGCCACCTTCGCAGCGTTACAGAGGGCAGCACCGTCTAGCACTGCCAAGGTGGAGCAGTGCACTTTTGGCGGCGCTGAAAAAAGAGTCTATAGACGATAAAAGGCGACCACAGCGTGTATGGGCGCACCAGTCGGCAGATTGCTCGCAGTTGTAGCAGGCCTCATTACTCGTTGAGCCAAAGATTCATTCTGCGCTCATCACCTCTCCGTAGTCATCGCCAGTTCGCCCTTTCATCTCAAATCTCGCCGCAAGCGCGTTCCAGAAACACCAACTGACGAAAATGTCTTGGCAATCGTATGTGGACAACCAAATCTGCCAGCACGTCGACTCCCGCCTCGCTGTCATCGCCGGCCTCGGGGACGGCGCCGTTTGGGCCAAATTTGAGAAGGATCTCGCCAAGCAGGTAACTTTCACTTATCAGCACTTTACCTACCCAAACGCATGGTGACCACTATCTTGCATTGCTCCGTCTGACATACCGTCTGAATCACATCACTGCTTCTTCTACTCGCTCTCCCACACTGTACCGGCGTCCCGGCCACCGCCCTCCTTTCTGTTAGATGGCTTCAATGCATTTGTGATGTGCACTTTTATTGATGTTTCAGTGCTCGCAGTAACATAGACANTTTTTGTTAGATGGCTTCAATGCAGTTGTGATGTGCACTTTTATTGATGTTTCAGTGCTCGCAGTAACATAGACAACAGTATCCGCGCACTTGGCAGTGAATCAGTGCGTTGCCACTATCTATAGACTGTCCATGCGCTTGTAAATGATGCCGCATCATCTTGGGCGTTGGTTCGTCAACAAACACGCAGTGGAACAGTCTGGGAAACGTGGAAATATGAGCTCACTTTTCACCCAACAGATGGGGTGGTTCTGAGGGAGGGGAATGATTCGGTTTATACTAAGGTGCGCATCTCTGCTTTCTCCCCACCCCCACAGGTCACCCAGCAGGAGCTCAAGACAATTGCTGATGCAATTAGAAGCAACCCGCAGTCGTTTCTGGAAAATGGCATTCACCTTGGCGGCGAAAAGTATATCTGCATCCAGGCCGACAACACCCTGGTTCGTGGCCGAAAAGGATCTTCAGCACTCTGCATCGTTGCGACAAATACATGTAAGAAGTTATTTTTAAATTGCTAAATTGATGCCAATAGCAATAATTTCTTTGCTTTCTACCACATAGGCCTCCTCGTTGCTGCCACCGTCGACGGCTTCCCTCCCGGACAACTGAACAACGTTGTTGAGAAACTCGGCGACTACCTAAAAGGCCAGAACTTCTAAACTGCTTTCTTCTTCTCTACACCCAATCGAGGATTCAATAGCCTAAACAATTCAGTGATAATTGCAAACAGTTTGTCATTTTTTCTAAACGTAATGTTTTTATCAATGGAATAAATTGATCACGCTTCTTCAGCGAGCCACCACTTTTCATCTCATTTGTCCACCTTTTCTCTCTCTCAAATCTCCACCCATGTTTCCACATCTTCTCTTGTTCACACAGTCACACACAGTAATCACCACTGTCGCCTTCCGCTGGCCGCGCACACACTAATCGGTGTCGGCCACACTTCCGCTGCTCTTGGCTCATTCGCCCTCGTATCCGCCTGCCTATCAACAGAGCAGTCTCAGGCGTCAGGACGAGTTGGCGCCATGATTTCCGCTGTGGTTCAGTAATCGAAGAGAGAATCAGCCAGGCAAAGTGGGCTCTCAGTCAGTCGGTAGCAACAATTGTACATTCTCTGTAGGTGCAGTAGACATCGCCAGTAGCATTGAAGGCGTTCATCGACCTTCGTAGTGGTAGTAGAGGTTCAGTGAAAGCATGCAACGGGTGACGCCCCCTCATGCTGAGCTGCCAAGTGAACTCCCGCAGTCCTGAACTTGGACGCACCAAAGATTGTACGTTCTATGCGGTTGGTGTTTTCGCGTGGAAAATCATTTTAAAGATGTTCCTTGGCCGTACTNGGCATGCAACGGGTGACGCCCCCTCCTGCTGAGCTGCCAAGTGAACTCCCGCAGTCCTGAACTTGGACGCACCAAAGATTGTACGTTCTATGCGATTGGTGTTTTAGCGTGGAAAATCATTTTAAAGATGTTCCTTGGCCGTACTACAGGGGGCAGCACTGCGGCACTGCAATAACAAGACTGCAAAACAAGATCGCACACGGAAAGCACACACGCCTCTCATTCCACGTGGACTTTGGTTCCCTGTCGCCCTGTGGTCCCTCTCGCCCTACTGCACCGGCCGAATGATCGTCTAAAGCAGTCCGCGTTCACTTCTCTTCCTGCTCACGCCACCACCCGTTCGCCGTCGGCCCTAGCAGCTTCAACAGCTCCGACAAGTGCACGACGAGTGCGATCTACCCGAGCTTGAAGATGACTTCGATAAACATCAATCACAACAATACTCAGTCCATTTCGACGAACGACCTTCAGAAACTGCTCAAGCTTTGCTCATCGACACACTTTAAGTCAAAGGTCGCCAACAACCGCACTGATACGATTGAAAACACCTGCATCCGACTGTTCTCCAAAGACTCGCCAAACCCAATCGTGATTACCAATGAGAATGGCGAGCTCTCTACTAGTTACCCATCAAAGATTATCATTCCGCAATTGGAAAAGGAGGAACCGAGTGGAAAGCCTGTAAAACGAAAAAACGGCACTGCCTACAATGAGTACACTGACGCGATGAAGTTGAAAGATCTAATGAGCAAAGCCCGCGTCGCTCGGTGTAGAGCCCGGTTTCCGATTCCTGTGATACTGTTCAAGAACAAGTACATCTGCCGATCGGCCACTCTGTCTAGTGGTGCCGAGATTTATGGTCGATCAGTAATCGACTACTGCTCGTTGCCTGCCAGTGATCCGAAGAACAATTCTGCCCCGAACAACTCTGACGCTTGTCTGGTGGAACCCTGTGAGGATGACGAAGATTTTGAGGAAGCAATTGCCGAGGATTCACCACCGATGCCACAGCGTTCACTGAACATTAGTGACTCCAGTCAAATGTGCACACACGTGCGCAACCTCGACATTAAGCTGCTCAAGTTTTTCTCGGTGAAGAACATCTGTGATTTAATGTTGGAGCAAAAGAAAGTCAAATACGGAATGAAAGTTACCTCGTCAGAAAAAGCAGGTAAGTTGATTCCAATTAATTCAACAACAATATTCACTAAACTGCCCTTTTTTCTCATGCCCAAACAGACAGGGAAAACCGTTATTCCGACTTTAACATAATTTCACTGCCTTATCCTGGTTGCGAGTTTTTCCGCGAGTACCGAGACAACAGCTACTGCGCAGAGGGCCTGGTGTACAACTGGAACCAGAACTTCGTCGATGCTGTCCTGGATCTTCCCAACTGTGAGCTACTTTCTCGGATGCTTAAAGTTAACTTGAAAGAATATCGCTCTTGGGACGTGGCAAAGCTGACGCAGAATTACCTTCGCCTGTTGATTTACTTTATCCGCGAATCCGACTCTTCAATCCTTATCCACTGCATTTCAGGCTGGGACAGGACGCCTCTGTTCATGTCTCTGCTGCGTCTCACCCTCTGGGCTGACGGGGAAATTCACAAGAACCTCTCTGCAATGGAAATCACCTACCTCACAGTGGCCTACGATTGGTTCCTCTTTGGCCACAATCTTAATGACCGCCTGAACAAGGGCGAAGAGATCATGTTCTTTTGCTTTCAGTTCCTCAAGTTCATCACCGACGAGCAGTATAGCATTAATTATGAACTGCCTAAAATTGACGATGAAGAGCTTAAACGAAAGATAAGCGTCGACAGCTACACAAACGGAGATGACGGTTTCATCTTGGAGAACATTCCTCACTTTGGCGGCAGCCTCACTAGTCTCAACAGTAATGGCAGTTTGGCAAACTGCGTCGAACCGCCAGTGTTCTATTCAGTGTACAACGACTCTAAACACGATGACCCTTTCTCCTCCTCGATATCACCTTCAGGCATTGAACGACTAAAGATTACCTCAAATGATAGCTTCTCCAGTTCTTCGCTCTTTGCCGATAGTAGTTCAGTTCAATCCGACAACTTGTCTCAAAGTGACGAAATGATTTCTACCTTGACGTCCAGTTCTGTCCTGAAGAATTCAAGTCTTCAAACGAGCAAGCTATCCCCGTCTTCAGAAAATGGCTCCGTCGGAGGAGGTGTGGAAAGGAGTGGAAGCTATCGCGCCAGCAATGGCTTACACGCGCCCACAAAGCCAGTGGAAATTCCAAACTCCAACAAGAGCTACGAGAATGGGAGCCACTCTCTGTGTCGTAGCGACAGTTGGCAGTTTGTCGACAAGGCAGGAAGCATTCGTGATCACCACAACATGTCGAATCACTTTAGTTCTCCCGACTCTATAAACTCATTGCGAAAGGATCTTAGCAACTCCCCGCTCTACAATGCTAATCATTTTGCCATCACCCACGAGGATCAAGCTCAGTCCAAGTTGAACAACCGCAAAACTCGGCTTATAGAAGTTCGGTCAATCTTCAACTCTGCCTACAATTCGCTCAATTTAAACCACAACAACGGCCGCCGTGTCACTAATCTGGTGGACCACTTTGTTGGCCAAATCTACTCTACCCGCGAATCGCCAGATTGATAGATGGTAGCTGATCACTTAGGTCCTTGGCAAACACTGTGATTCAGTCTCTTGTGACTCGCCTTATTCATCCCATTCAGTTCACTTCACCTCTGCCGTGTTCAATAACCAAATCACAACCAAGAAGTTTTTATTATGATATTTGACGGAAACAATTATTTTAAAACGCATTGTGGAAATTTTTTATTTCTTTCATTCATTTCGCTTACTCCGTCAAGTATATACAGATTTTATTTGTGTTAATGCAACTTGCAAAGCTGTATTATATCGCCAACTGTAGTCAGTCTTATTTTTTACAATATTGTACAAACTGTATGCCAACTATGATCACTGTCAAACTCGTAAGCTTTTATACACTTTTTTATAATCAAAAATAAATACAAACAGAAATCTTATCCTGCCATAACAGTTATTTCGAACTTTTGTTTATCAATACTTGGAGTTGCTGTTTGGCGCCTCTATGGTCAGGGTCAAGTGAGAGAGCCTTTTGATAGTACTCCTTCGCATCGGAGAGTCTTTTGTTGCGGTGATAAAGTACAGCAAGGTTGTAGTGATACTTGGCCGTGAGGGGACTAAGGGAGATTGCCCTCTTAAAGTGCTCTTCAGACTTTTCCGCCTGACCTATCTGACCGAGAATATTGCCAGCTAAGAAATGCAAAGAGGCCTCATCGGCATTGAACTCCAAGGCTCGGTAAACCATTTGAAGTGCATCCTGTGGCTGTTTATGGTCTTGTGTTAGAAGAATTAAATTGTTCCAGGCCCGCACAAGTTTTTCATCTAGCTGAACTGCTCTTTTGTACAATTGTTCTGCTTCTCGAAAGTGCTTCCATTCGAGGTACTGGTAAGTGCAACAAATATAACTGTCAGCAATAGTTTAGTTTACAACAAAATAAACATACCATGTTGGCCATATTGAAGTGCGAGTAGGCNTTTGTTCTGCTTCTCGAAAGTGCTTCCATTCGAGGTACTGGTAAGTGCAACAAATATAACTGTCAGCAATAGTTTAGATTACAACAAAATAAACATACCATGTTGGCCATATTGAAGTGCGAGTAGGCGTGATTGGCTCTGATTTGAATGACTCGCTTAAAGTATGCCTCAGATTGTGGATAATTGCCAAGAGCCATCTCCACAATTGCCAGGTTCATTAGGCCAGATGCAAATTGGGGGTCAATCGAACAGGCTTTCTCCAGTATAGCTTTAGCCTTCTCCAGCTGTCCTAGATCGCGCAAAATGTTGCCATAGTTGTTCAGGGCACTGGTGTAGTTTGAGTACAGTGTCAGAGAGTGCTTGTAGTTCTCCACTGCCTTTTCGATTTCACCCCTGTCTGCTGCAATCTTGCCAATATTGTAGAATATTTTGGCATTCCCCTGCGAACACGACATTAGTAAAAATCACAATTTTTTAAATTGCAAAAACCGTACCGGACAAACTGAAACATCCTTAGCGAATAAATCCTCTTCATGGAGCCAATCTCGTGATCGCTATGCAAAAGTAAGTAAATTAGTATCTCTAGCAAAAATTGTGTGAAAACTTACAGTGAATGATCGAATTGAATACGTTAAAAGCAGCAGATACACCGAGTAGTGGAAGATCTGTTTGAAAAATGTTCGCGGCAAAAGATAAAGGCATTGGTTGTGAGCGGTGATAAAGATCAACAAGTATCCAAGTAGGGGCATAAAAAGGTTTCTCTCTGCAATCACTAGAATATATACTCGATTAATCATGGTTAGTGTCAGAAAGCAGCAAGTCTCATTACCAAAGCCAACTTGAAAGAACAGATTTGATGAAGGCAGAAACGGAAGTAATGCAAACGCGAAAAACACAAGAAAGCATCTGTACACGAGTAAATGATTAGAAACTGAATAACTTGACTGAACATGCACTTCGAACCGTTTATTTCTGTGTCGAATTGAGATGATTAAGTAGGAAAATATCACAGCAAAAGTTACTGTAAATAAAAGGAGCCAAACGAATCTAATGTCAGACAATGATTCAATGAGTGGAATGCAGCCCATTGACCAGTCGAAGCACAGCCAAATGGGACAGACAATGAGGAATGCATTAAGCAGGTAAAGGTGACCAAAGTTGATGTAGCGATACGGCAATGAGGAGATATGTGAAGCAGGGTTATCCATTGAGCTGAATGATGGACGACTGAAGTTCATGACCCATAAACGACCGTATAGAAAAGCAGCGGCAGAGATCAAGAAGAAGCAACTTTGCAGCAATATCACAGAGCGATCATAAACATGAGTGTGAAAAATCACGAGATTCAAATTCAGTATTATGAAAACTCCCTGCATAAAACAGAACTGTTATTTGAAGAAGGTCAACTTTTGAAAGCTTTACCAANCGAAAAATCACGAGATTCAAATTCAGTATTATGAAAATTCCCTGCGTAAAACAGAACTGTTATTTGAAGAAGGTCAACTTTTGAAAGCTTTACCAAATAGGTGATTCCTTGTTCTTTAAAGAGAAGAGCAAGTCCAATCAAAAGAACAATTGCNTGGGAAATCACGAGATTCAAATTCAGTATTATGAAAACTCCCTGCATAAAACAGAACTGTTATATGAAGAAGGTCAACTTTTGAAAGCTTTACCAAATAGGTGATTCCTTGTTCTTTAAAGAGAAGAGCAAGTCCAATCAAAAGAACAATTGCAATTGACCATAGAGTGCGTTTGATATAAACTGCCTGAAATGTGCTTGTATTTTTCCTAACTTTAAGCAAGTTTAGAGCATTCAGGTAAACCCGAAATGCCAGTATGGAGAATAGGGCAGATAGAATGTCAGCCAAGCCAACACAGGAAGCAACCTAGGAAACAGCTATGAATTAGAGACCCGCCAGCCAAAGTTCTACCATGACAAACTGTGTACCGATTCAGTGTGCAGAGGATGAACTGCGAAAAGCAGCGTCACCAGGAATGCCTTCCTCTGGGCACTGGCTGGTGAACTGCCGATGATCGGGCCCGCAAGAAAGAGGCACAGAGTGGAATGGAGCAAGCAGCAGAGCAATGTGTAGGCGATAAGATTGGCGCTTCGGAACCCCAGAGGATGCAACTGCTGGGAACCATTTTGATAGAGAAGAGCGCTAAAGAGACGAATACACTTGTAGACTAGAATCGTGAGCGGTCTGTACGACTTGTGACTGGATGAGTCTGTCAATCTTTTTCCCCAAAAATCATTCAAGAATATGCGACTGTCAAACAAGTGACGCTCCAAGTCAGGGTTCACCAGGATCGCCTCCGTGTCATCAAACACAAAGTCGCCGAAAATGGATGATCCGAAGTTCAGGCTAACAAGTGCACCGATCAGGATGTACCGAACGTTCCCACTGGACATGGTGCCATTCCACAACTGAAAGAGGCGGCAAAATAAAGATGCCGGCGANCTCAGGCTAACAAGTGCACCGATCAGAATGTACCGAACGTTCCCACTGGACATGATGCCATTCCACAACTGAAAGAGGCGGCAAAATAAAGATGCCGGCGATTTATTTGAGCGCAATTTTTTTTTCATTTTTGGGCTATCCCATTTCTACCTAAAAGAGCAATCGCTTCAGAGTTGCGTCATGGCGGGCGCAATGACTCAGCGATGCCGGTTTCAAGTCGTTCCTCTTTCAGCGACTACTTGTTTCAGAGTCATTTTTTCTGTTATCATTTTTAGCACTGCAGGTCTTTCTAATCATGACGCCTTATCTTAGCTGCGATTACTCTAATGCGTCAGATTTCTAGCACTTTGAGTTTCTATTTCCACAATCTCACTCTCTGTTATCCGGTAGTTGGGCATTTGCCAACCAGGGGGCGCAAGTGCACGGTGTCTGTGAAACGCCACAGAAAACGTCTTATATGAGAGCTGCTCACGCTTGTCCACTCTTCCGCTCAGTCTAACTCAGAGACACAAGCACTGTGCTACCCGTCAGCGAAACATCTCCTACCTGATATTCCCTTTCTCACAAGGTCCTAATTATGTCCGGCAATTTTGAAGACAGGTAAGTTCAGGTTTTCAAACCCAACCGGCGTTTGCACCCACCTGCGGAAGAGCACGCTCTGGCGTTAGCCCTCAACCGCACCGCGCCCTTTTGCCGGCAGGCCGGCTGGCCATCTCTGCAAGGCGTGATTATCTTGCTCAATGTCGTCTAATATGCCCTTTTCCTCCTCCCCTTCTTCCTCTAGAGTCCAAAACTATGATTCCGGTAACGACAAGCCGGCCTACAAGTTTGAAAATGACGTAAGTGCTCAAGTTTTAGCGTTACGCATTTTCATAAATTTGTGTCCACTTCACCCTTTAGGTCACCGTGGATGTCGACACCTTCGACAAGATGGAACTGAAGGATGAGCTTCTCCGAGGCATCTACGCGTACGGTTTTGAGAAACCTTCGGCTATTCAGCAGCGCGCCATTTTGCCCTGCATTTCTGGCAAGGACGTCATCGCCCAAGCGCAGTCTGGTACCGGCAAAACCGCCACCTTCGTAATCTCGATTCTCCAGCGCATTGATACCACCATCAACGAATGCCAAGCCCTCATCCTCGCACCCACTCGCGAGCTGGCTCAGCAGGTACGCAATCTCGGAAACCCTAAAACCACATTTTCCGCCACCACACCACGTGCTCGTCACTCATATGCTCTTTTGTCTCCATTGACAGATCCAAAAAGTCGTCTTTGCTCTCGGCGATCATCTGCACGTCAAGTGCCATGCTTGCATTGGCGGCACCAATGTCGTCAACGACATCAACACTCTCGAGAACGGTACCCACATTCTTGTGGGCACCCCTGGCCGCGTCATCGACATGGTCCAGCGTGGCTACTTGAGTACGTATAATACGTCTATTGTATGATATCCTGTCTTCTACAACTTCCTTTTCCTTCCATTCTCACAGAGACCAAGACGATCAAGATCTTCGTCCTCGATGAGGCTGACGAGATGTTGTCTCGCGGGTTCAAGGAGCAAATCTACGATGTTTTCCAGGCTCTGGACTACGAGGTTCAGGTCATCCTGCTCTCTGCGACCATGCCTCAGGACGTGTTTGAGGTGACGACCAAGTTTATGCGCGAACCAATCAAGATCTTAGTGAAGAAGGAGGAACTCACCCTGGAAGGTATTAAGCAGTTCTTCGTCAACGTGATCCACGAGAAGGACAAGCTTACCACTCTGATCGATCTGTACAACTGCCTCACCATCACCCAGGCAGTCATCTTTTGCAATACCCGTAAGAGGGTGCAGTGGCTCTCTGATCAACTCAAGGCCAACGACTTTACCGTTTCTTCGATGGTAAGCTACTTTTATGATACTTTTCATTTCAATGATAGTTTAGGGTGTCAGGGTTAGGCGATTTGATATCTTACATACCTTCCTAAAAAGCACTTCATTGCCATTGTTCTCTATTGATTTTGGAGTCGTCAAAGNCTTATATACCTTCCTAAAAAAGCACTTCATTGCCATTGTTCTCTATTGATTTTGGAGTCGTCAAAGTGAAGGAAATTAGTGAATTGGTGCTTTGGGTGAGAAGTACTTCTCTTATTTTATTATNGTTATATACCTTCCTAAAAAGCACTTCATTACCATTGTTCTCTATTGATTTTGGAGTCGTCAAAGTGAAGGAAATTAGTGAATTGGTGCTTTGGGTGAGAAGTACTTCTCTTATTTTATTATGAATTAATTTCTCAATGGCATTACTAACATTCCAAAACCAATTTATTTTAGCATGGTGACATGGATCAAAAGACTCGCGAGAAGATTATGCAAGAATTCCGAAGCGGCTCTAGCCGTGTCCTAATCACCACTGATCTTCTGGCTCGAGGCATTGACGTGCAGCAAGTTTCGCTCGTCATCAACTTCGACTTGCCCATCAATTACGAGAACTACATTCACAGGTGTGTATTCGGAGAGCTGAGACAGCGCCCTACCTGAGAGCAATCAGTTTGCTAATACTTTTTGTTTGTTTAATTTAGAATCGGTCGAAGTGGTCGTTTCGGCCGCAAGGGAAATGCCATCAACTTTGTCACCAACGACGACATCAGTCATCTCAAAGGCATTGAGGACTTCTACAACACCACCATTCGAGAACTCCTCGATTACGACCACATGTAAGAGAGCCGCCACTTCCGCCGCTATTCTCTCTTTTCCGCTCTAATTGCTTCATGCTGCATTCTTGCGCTCGTCAGTGCGTGCACCCATGCGCTGTTTTTATTTATGATTATACTTATTTGTAAATTGGATCCTTGTTTTTAAAAAAAGCGAAAATTAAAAAACAAGTTTAAGTTATTTTCAACACACTTTCATTACTCTTCATTGAAGCCCCCTCTCTTCTCCCTCTCTCTCTCCTAATTCCGTTTGTATAATTTTCTAGACTGTCAGTATAACATCCTCTCCCTTTCTCTCAGCTACGTTAGGACATTAGTAATCTTTCAATTGTAATGCGCGCTTTTTTAATAAAAATCTGTCACCACTAACAGCCAATGATGATGAAGACACTTTTCCCAAACACCGCTTTCTTTAATCTCATTTTATTATTTTATTGCTAATGCATGAAGTGAACCATTTGTCTCGAAATAAAACATTTATATCACAACTTGATGTTAGTCAAATTCGGTTCACTTGCTACTTTGATTTGCCGATAGTGTTGGTCTTTTGCTTGTTCAGATTGCTCAGCATCAGACTGATGTACGAAGTCAGCAGATCGTCCATCTTGTAGCCCTGTAGTGGTAGAGTGTCATTTGATCAGCGATTAGCCTACTGTCGAACTATTCAATTCAGTAGATCTATCTGCTTACCAGAGAAGTTTCGCACAGCAATTTGCTGCCACGAACTAGATTGCCAATGGTCATGTGGAAGTAGGTTATGCCGCTGCTCCAGTTGGATATTCGAGTGAAAGGATGCGTCACCAGAATGTCCTTTGAGGCGGGATCAATTAGGCTGACACCGTTCTTGTTGATAGCAATCAAGAGGTGTTCCGGGTAGTTTGTGTCTCCATTTTGCTGCATTGACAAAAGAAAAAATCATTGGTCAGTTTTGGCCACCCTTCTTTGACTGGCATAAGACGAACCTTCACTTCGAAGAAAGCCGACCCGAAAGTAGGCCACTTGAAGACGCACTTGAGGAATGCCACTTTGGCGTTCTCTGAATTCATTCCATTGTCTTGTGTGTGATAGTTGAGAATTTGCTAAAAGAATAGAATTTAGTACTGCAAATCAGTTTCAAAGATATTTTTCTAACCTTCTTCCACTCATTAGGAGTTTGCGATTTGATCAGATCATTGGGGATGATTTCGTGCAAAAAGTTTCTATTAACAAAGTTTTAAGATTTAAAATGTTCCAGTATCAGTACTTTTATTTCCACTTACTGAACTGACTGCAGCTCGTATTTGCTATCACCAAACCGAACACGCAATATCAAAGATGCCAAACGAGCTGCGTCTTCTTTCGTGCACTTGTGGTACCCTCGAAGTAATTTTGGCAACTCCTGTGAACGGTAAACCCGATTAGTCAGAGTCACAGTTAAGGTGCATTTGAGTATAAATTACCTGATGATAATGGAAAATGATGTCCGCATTCCGGTCTTTTCCAGGAACGGTGTTTGTCCACAGTTTCTTCATGAAAAACACCTGATACGTGAACTGAGGTACAGAACCTTGAAAAACGCAAAAATATCATCGTTAGTAAACGCATTTTTATCTTTAGTTTATCATCCTGCTTACCATCTCTTGATGGACGAGCCTTGCGAATCCAATCGGTGAGGTGACGAACAAAATCGAAAAAGAAATCACCTTCTGGCACGCTAATAACTTTGTCGGCAATTTTGACGAATAAACTGAAGCCCTCAGCCGACTTGAGATTGAGTCTTTGAGCAATGTCCAAGCAGAAATCTTTGGCTCGAGTACTCGAATCCACCTCAAATGCTTCATCAGAGTCATCGGGAAAGTACACCTTGTGGAAGATTTGCGTTGTCTTGTGTTGTATTGCCTCCACCTCGACCAAGTGGGGAGGATATTTGCGTTGACCATTTCTAAGTTTAAAGAAGTTTGTTAAAATCTGGTACAACAACATCTTTCTCCTCAATACCTTAGTGTTTTGTGAAGCCGTTGCAGGGAGTCCATTGCCACTGGATGTCGTCTTGTCTTGAGAAAGAGAGTGAGTTGCCGCAGTAATGCTTGACTAGGAGCAAAAAGTCCAGTAGATAGCCACATCAGTTCCCAGCCCTTCTCTTCACTGAGTCTGCAATGCAAAATGGTTGCGTCAGGTTTGTTGAAAACTCCTGAAGGTTTGCAACTTGTTACCTATTTTTATTGTCTGTTAGCTGCTTCATTATTTGGCAGTAAATTTCGTCTCGAAGAATATCCTAAATGAAGTATCAAGTTAGTGATCAAAAAGGTTAAACCGGTCCAAAAACACTCACGTATTTCAGCGGCCCTTCAAATATTTGGTCTGTCAGGTCGTTGCTGTTGCGTGTCCTCCTAGAGGGTAAATCGCCCATATACTTAAGAATGGGTGCAAAGAAGTTAAGGAAATAATAATAAGAATAATAAAATAGTCATTTGCTAAACTGTAAAAGAGGTTAATTAATGAAATATACTGTGAAAAGGATATCATTAAAGGAAAAGACGCTCTCTTGAACCAGTTCGTCTTTGTTGAGTAACTTCTTCAGCAGTGGTTGCTTCAGTGGATCTCGAGCGTGTCTCCATAGCTGCTCCGAGTTTCGTTTTCTGGGCGACGTAAAAGTGAGTGTTCGCTGGAAAGTGTGCTTTGGAGGGGGCCTAAAGTGGTCCAGTGAGTACTCCTCTAAAGTGTGTGGCTTTTCGTGAGTGTTAAAGCCGTTGGCTTGTGAGTACAGCGTTCGATGCTCCTCAAAGTTGCTGTCGTTAAAGATGGCAAGCGTAGAAGAGGTTGGTTTGTTGGTCGTTGGCAACACGTACAGGTATTCTGAGGATAACGAGGGAGCAAAGTGTGATTACTTTTTGGGAAGGAACAAAGACCTCATCGAGAACACTCACCTGTAGGGACGTCTCCCTTTTCGCTGGTGCGATCAAGCTTGACCTGGACCCAGGACTGCTTGCTTACATGATCCCCGGTGAGACTGCTCTCCAGAATCATCAAGTCACCCTGATTAAATGACAGCGCCGTAGAGTTGTCTGCCTTGTAGTCCTGTGTGGCAATGACAAACTTCGACCTGAACTTCAGTCCCTCAATGAAGAAGTTGACCAACTCGCAGATGTCTCCCGAGTTGGGCGACTGAAAGACAAACTTTTCGTCGCGTACTGTGGTCAGAGTAAAGTTTTGCATAAATGGACGGTTACTCTTTTCACTCTGCGCTTTGGTTATCTCGGGAAAGGAGAGCTCCAGTAGAACTTGCTCCTGGTCATCCACCATGTAAATGCCCGTCCAGTTGATGGCAATGATGATGTCATTCTTCTGCAGCAGAGGACCGTCAATGCGCAGAGCCTCATAAAAGCGAGAGAATAGTAATGGCCACTTGTACTTGGCATACTCGGTAATGTCTTCTTTGATTTTAATCGACGCAATTTTCTCCCGATAAAAGTAGCTCTGTTATGTGATAGAAGAAGGCGCAGAGTATGTTAGAGTGCACCAGTTAGGCAGATATTGAAAAGGGTCATTGATTCGATTACCTTTTTGTAAGCGGACACAACAAAGTTTGCCCACTTTTCGATGCTTTTATCGTTGGTGTGAATGTAGTGGTCAGGAATGTAGTTGGCAATGACGGACAACAGGTGCTCCAGTTTGAAGTCCTCTCCAAATTCGACGTAGTACTGCTGGGCGGCAATCATTGCCAGCTCCTCTTCCTTCTCACAGCGATACTCCCCAAATTTGACTCCGCGCACTACCTGCTGGTAAATGAGGTTCGTCGCGACCGAGTCCAAATTGGGGTCATGCCAGGGGGCAAAGATTTCCTTGCGAAAGAAGAGCCGCCAGGGAGCATTGCGCTCCTGTGCGCCCTGCTCTTTGGCATACTGTTCGCACTGTGAGATGGCGTCCATCACATGTTCGCCTCCACTGCCCAGACTGGAAACCTTATCAAAGAGTGCAATGTACAGCGAAAAACCAAACTGATCCTGCAGGTTTATCTTTTCCGACAGCTGGGCGCACAGTTCCCGCGCCGTGGTGGCAGAATCGGCGAGAAGTGTCTTGGTGTTTCCGTCCATGAAGGTTATTGGCAGCATCAACGGCTTCTTAGACTTGGTCGCCTGCAACTCCAGCCAAGAGGGAGGCTGTCCTCGAGTGCCGTTCACAAAAGTCCGCCTCAGGCGATCTTCACAGTAGGGTGCATATCCTGGCGGGCCCTCTCGAATAAAGTTGAGCAAATATTTGACAAACTAAACACGGAAAAATGGCAATGTGTTAAAACTTCAAGTTACCCAAATCAATATAGGCACCTTCTCTGATGGCGCAAAACATCCGACGCAAAGTGACAGAAGAATCCAGCCACGTGCATGTGAACTTTTGGAAGGATTACTGGATAGCTGCTTGCAAATTTGACTATAAACTTCGTCCCTGTTGGATAGAATGTTTAAACAATAATGGTAGTGTTCAGTAGTTTACATTTAGAAAAAAAGTACAAACCGAAGCTCCTCTCGAAGAATTCCATGGCCAATAATAAAGTGCAACTTTTCGAGATTCGACGTTGGCCTAGACTCGAGCCAACTGCTATAAGTATCAGCTGCCAGGTCGTCCTCCTGCAGACGACGACGTACATCTTCGCTCAGTTTGTTCTTCTTTTTCAGCGTCAAAGAGACCAGTTTGTTTCGAATTGAACGTGACTTTGGCTTGAGTTCACTCTCACCCTCCAAACCGTTCAGCTGAGCATCTTGAAACTCTTTGCTTTTAATGAAATTTCGACCTAACGTTGCCGTGACTTTGCTCATTACTGAGGTATTATCCTGAAAAGAGATGTTGGTCAGAGAAGTTAAAACACCAAAGTCAGCTCAAATTCATTCTTACTCGACCCATTGTGTGAAAGTTAGGTTCGCCTAGGTCGCCCATGAAGCGCAGTATGGTAATCCAAAGGGCAATCGAAGCCATGCAGTCTCCTTGAGTTTGCAACGGCAAAAGTGGCTGTTTAAGTGGTTTTCGCTGATACTGGTGATTGGCATTTGCCTGAAAGTAGGTAGCTGCAAACTTTTGAAACTTGTACTCGGAGAGGTCCTCGATGTCCTCCTGCGGCACCGGAGGCAAGTTGATGTCGCTAGTGTCGGCGATGTCACCGTTTATTCGTTCCAAATCACTAAAGGCACTGGGCACATTTGACTCTGATTGACTGTCGGCACGGGGCAAAAAATCAAACATGGCGTCCACCAGCTTGGAGTCATCGAGAATTTCCTCCTGTCGCTGTACGGCATCCGTGATGACGGCCTTCTTCTCGGCAATCATTCGCTTATCCTCAATTTCCTCCTCCTTCTTCTGCGACTCAAACTCTTGAATTCGCTCAAAATACTTTTGTTCGGCAATCTCCTTTGCCTTCTTGGGATTCATCTTCTTCATCAACAGGTGTTCTTCTTGCTCTTTCAGTTTCAGCGCTTCAAGCATATTGCGATGCTCTTGACGCATTTTGAGGTAATGTTTTCGGGCAATGAAGCCGCGAATGAATGCCTGTATTTTAATAGCTGCCTGCTGACGAGCAGTGAATTCTTTGCGCAACAAGTAGCCTCGGCAAATGGCTTGCAAGGAGACAACATGGTTGCGCAGGTGCTTGAAGCGGTTGGTCATCATGCGAGATCGAATGAGCGCTTGCAAACGCAGATAGCCAACTTTCATCTGACAGATTTAAAAATAAAACAAAAATAAACATCGATTGCTGGTGGAGTGAACAACAGCGCTTACCATTCGGTACTTTTTCCGTTGAATGTACCCCCGGTAGAATCTCTGAATGACCACGGCAGCAGTCCTGAACTGGAGAAACTTGCGTCGGTAGTACCAACATCGAATAGCTCGCTGAAGTGTGACAATGTTCTTTGTCAAGACGCGATCTCGCTCCTGCTCGAGAAACAGATCGTGTGCGTCCTTGAGAAACACTTTTGTTTTGCCCAGCTGGTAGTCAGATTTGGCGAGAACCGAAGCGCAAATTTTGGCCGTCACTTCGCGACAGTCGGCCACTTTGTGCACCGGCGGAATGGAGGGAATCAAAAAGCGGTATCGTTCGACGAACTCGGCAAAAGTATGGCGAATTGGGTAGCCTGCTCGACGGATGCGAATAGTCTCCATCATTCCAGAGTAGCGGAGTTGCTTACAGCAGAGCAGCCGATCAAACATCTAAGCAATGGGACAAAGAAAACCAAACGGTAAGTATTGCAAGCACAAGCTAATCATTTCAAATGCGTACCATTGCCTTCTTGAACTCATTTGGTTTGATGCATCGTATGAAGAAGGGATGACAGTTGCTCAGCTGCTTCATCAGCGAATCGAGAGACTTTTTGAACTGTGCGCTCAGTGTTGGCGCCTTCTTTCGCGTATCGTTACCCTAAAAAGGTGTTTAGATGCTGTTAGAGCTGCTGATAACCATTTAACAGCTTACCATATTGAAATCTTGCGCAAATAGCTGCCGAAGAAACATGTTCTTGCTGACTTGTATTAGCTGAATCAGGTCAGCATTAAATGTGTCGCGATTCTTTTCGAGGAAACCTCGCGTGTCGTAGAAAACTACCCCGGCAAAATGATTCAGACCAAAAGACTGATTGATGTCCGATTTGGGCTTCAGGTAGTTGCCATTGGTGCCGTGTGTTTTGTGCAGCTTGTTGAGAAGTGTCACGTCAGTTCCTTTTGGAAACTTACTTTCCTCATCAATCAACGCCATAATGTTCATGGGCTTAGCGGCGATCAAATCGAGAGCCTCCTGATTGTCGACAAACTCAATGTGCTGCCAGTTGATTGTTTCCAAGTTGTACTCCTCTTGTTCAAGCTTAAAAATGTGACGCACAAAGAATTGCTGCAAGTTTTCATTTGCGTAGTTGATGCAAAACTGTTCAAAGCTGTTGACTTTAAAGTTTTCAAAACCGAAAATGTCCAGCACGCCAATCGAAGTGCGCTGAGCTGAGCTTGATTTCGGTTTGAAGATGGCTGAGTTGATTTTGCTGACGATCCAAACAAACATTCGTCCGTAGATGCCTTTGACGAGCGCATCTCGAACATCCAATGCCTGTTCGGTGCTCATTGTTGACACGACAACGTCGCCATGAGCAAAGATGGTTCGAGTTGTGAGAGCGTCGATTAGATGCTGTTGGTTGACGTTAAGCAGAGTAGAAGCACTTCCAGCACTTGTTGCGTTGATGATTTCAGTCGCATCCAAATTATCGACCATTGTTGCTAGAGATCAAAGATAAATTAAAAGGTCAAAAATAAAGCAAAGACACTAGTGAGTCTCCGCACTAACCTCGGTACTTAATATTGCCAATATGTAAGAGAGAACTCAAAATTTTCAGAACCTCCCAAATCTCCGGGTCTGAAAACATGAGCACCTTCATTGCAGAGCGAATATCGGCAAACTCATTGGCATCATTTCGCCCTTCGCAGGTAATCGATCCTCCCTGGGTGAGATAGTAAAACTTGGAGGCATCTTGAAGCTCTAAACTGATTTTGTCCTCTTTGGTGAGCCCTGCCAGCATGCAGTAGAAAATGTGGTAGTTGCGTTCGTCCACAGCCTGGTTGACGATGCGAGATTTCTCCAGTAGATACTGATCAATTTTGGCACCCTCGATAACGCCGTTTTTGTTGAAGTGAATGTCGATGTACTTGCCGAATCGACTAGAGTTGTCATTGCGAATGGTCTTGGCATTGCCAAAAGCTGCATGGAAAGCAAAGGTTAAGCAGAAGAACATTAAGGCGGTCACTGAACTAACCTTCAAGAATAGGATTCGCTTCGAGAATCTGCTGTTCAATCCACGAGTGCTGTCCACTGATGGCTGCCAGGTACTGCAGAATCAGCTTGGTGGACTCGGTCTTGCCGGCACCACTTTCTCCGCTGATGATAATGCACTGATCTTGCTGGTAGCGGCGCATGTTATTGTAGGCATTGTCGCCGATTGCAAAAATGTGCGGTGGCAGTTCGCCGATTTTCCTGTCTTTGTACAGTTTGATTTGCTCAAGTGTGTAGATGGGTAGTATTTGATAGGGATTGACCGCCACTAAAATCGAACCAGTGTACGTCTGTATAAATGATTAAAGAAAGGCAAGAGTTGATAAGCCTCCGTTTGACAGTTGCAGCTGGCACGATCTCACTGACATATATAACGTTGTCGTTGTAGCGAATGAGGAGGTTTCGCAAAATGCCCGACTCGTGAAGATCACCCAGCGAAATCATGTCCTCCACTCCCTGGACAGAGGTAGGATGCATCGCCTTGATGCGCCTCTCCGATGGACTGAGCGAATATTCCTGCAAAGGTGTTAAGAAGTATGGTCAGCGCACTGATCTTTGCGTGAAAACCGCAGCCATCAGAAGTACCTTTGTGTCATCGTCGACGACCACAATTTTGCGGCCGTCGACTGACTTGACCCGGGCACCAATAGCCACATCGAACTCCTTCTTCGTCTGGGGCTCGACCCAAATGTAATCCCCCTTTTGGACGATAAAGTGGTGTGTTATGACAGCAGCCTTGAGCACGGTTACTTTGAAAAGCTTCCAAAAGCACATACCCTCGTTACGATGACCATGATTGCGGTTAGTATTGCTCAGTGTTCACTTCATTAAAAACAATTGCAGCTTTTGGTGAAGGCCTAGTAAGGCGTGAGTAGTAGTGTTGAGACACGGTGACCGGCGAATTGCACAGGTAAAGGTGTAGAGGTGTTCATATTGCGGAGAAGGAAAGGAAAGTCAGAGATGGCAGGTGGGTGACAGGCTGGCACCAGTCGCCGTTAACCGGCGAGAACTTCGGATAAGATCGCCGAACGGTAAAAAGATGGGAAGTAGGGCAAAAAGTGTGACTGTGACTGCAGCAGATGAAGTGAAGGGGATCAATCGATCAACTTAGATTATAGTGTGTCTGGGTGAGTACGTAGAAGGCAGCAGCAGGTATGAGTGAGCATAGGAGGCGAGGAGCAGCCGCCGCAGATATTGCTCATCTAAATAGATTGATAAATTGTCCTGTAGCAATGGACGGGAAGAATAGAGCGCCTAGCGGTCGCGGTGCGGTGAAGAAGCAGTCACTAGCCGCGCGGCGCGGCAGGGTCGACACATCGACAGCTAGTTATGCTGAGAGATGCTTAATTCACTCGAACAGGACAGGAAAACATTCGACATAACACATAGAACAGCAACAACAACAGAAGGAGAGAGAGAGAGATAATAAAACGGCAAAAACAATTGCACCGAGTGGCACAGCCAGTTATGCCGAGGGTCGAGACTTCTTGTAGCAGTGGTCGTAGCAGTCAGTGGCTGACTGGCCGCACTGAACATACACACAGACAACACACAGACACACACTGGGAGACAGTGACTGACGAGCACTCTGCCATTCCAACAGGTAGGCTGTGCCAGCAGCACTCTCGGCTGAGCTGGCCGTCGCTGACTGCATCCCGACGCCAGTCGACACGGACACCGGTGAGAGAGACAGAGAGGGAAAAGGCAGAGGAGGGAAAGAGAGGAAGAGAGCTCCCTGCAGTATGACTGGTCGCGGAGAAAAGCACTTGACTGCTGTTAATTGTTAAAGTAAATACCTAAGGATAATAAGCTGCTCAAATCCGCAAAGAATCAGCCATTTCCATTTAAAAGGTGACTACTACTACCAGAACTAGGCTAAGCTGCAGTGAGAATCAGCAGCAGTGATTCAGGCAAATGTGTGAGTGAGCTGTAGGCCGCCGAGTTGAGTCGGTGGATGAAGTTGCGAGATGAAAGACACCGGGCGAGAGGAAATGATGGCATGAATGGCGCCATTCGGACAGAAACCTGATTTGACGCGCAATGCTCGGATGCATTCGTGTGGCGCGCCAATGAGAACATAATTCTCGGCGAGTGACTCGCTTGTGTGCGATGCCAGACTCTTCTGGTCTCATTGTCTCTCTCCATTTTTCTGTTTCTCTCTCTCTCTCCCACTGACAGAGTGGGCACACACCCAACGGTGGCAGCTCAGTGTCATGCCATCATCAGATTGGATGCTAATTTGTGATGCAACAGCTCTCATTAGTGAGCTACCGAGAATGGCGACAGTTGCACATTGTCTGCCAAACAAAAGCACTCGCTAATTGGCACTGGCCACTGGAGACTGCCTCATGATTTGCGGCAACACCGCAGCTCTCCCCTTATTGCCTCTTATTCCTCTCCTCCTCCTCCTTCCTTCAATTGTCCACATCCGCTGGTGTGAAATCTCAAGTACTCGAATCACCTAGAAAACCTAGAGTGGAAAGAATAAGTGCATGTTGCAGGTGTGTGTTAGAGTGTGAGTTTATTAGGCAGTCAGCAAAACAAAAAACTGCTTTGCTGGTCTGTGCAAGAGTGCATAACGGTAGATTAGCTCATTCAAAGTAAAAAAAATTGCGGTACAAAAACAGTGTTAGAGTAAAAAACTACTTCTGGTTAGAAAGAAAGACGGAAAGTGTACAGTGTATTACGTGTATCAAATAATAATAAATAAAATATAATAATTAACAAGAGAAACTGCAATGTCAATGAATTGTACAAAACTGTTGTTCAGGTGACGAGCTCGTAAAGTAGCTGGTATTATAGTCAAGATGACGGTCACCGATCGGCGCTTAAGGAAAATTTTATTTAAAAGTACAGCCTTTGAAGAGCACAGAGGCCTTCTAAGCAAGAATGGCACTTATGTCCCAGAGCTGCAATTATCAAAGTCTCAGCATTTAAAACAGGAAAAGGGGGTCACTTTAGGTAGCTTACCTTGATAACTCGATCGAAACCCGAGGTAACCATTAGCTTGTTGGCCTCATCGATGTGCATATGATTGACACAGTGCTTGCTATCGTAAAACTTTGCCAAAGAAACGCGACTGTTGACATAAAAAGCATTGATATTAGATAATGCAAAGTGCAATACATTAATTAACGCTAAAAAAGCTTACTCTGCCTCAGTGATTTTACCGGAGCATTCTTTGCAAACGCGCACAGGAAATTCGTAGCCCAGCTTGGGAAGGGTGGACCGATTAGCGCTACAATCATCGCATAGAGCTTTGCCACAAAAGCGACAGTGGTGCTGCATTGGTGACAAAAGATAGTGGCGAGATTAGTAATACTGTATAATGCATTAGTAATCTTGTTGAGATTTGAAGAGCCTACCTGACGATATCCTATCGTCTTTTGGTCGTACATTGCTCTTAAGTTCCAGAAAAAGGGTCTACTGCAGATTTGGCAAAAATCATTTTCCACCCATTCAGGAGTCTACGACGAAGACGGAATTAAAAACAAGACTTTATAAGCAATACATTTTACCTCCTTTCTTTCGCTGTTCATATTCCAAGCGACAATGGTACAGTCCTCCGAGGCAGATATGAGTTGTCGAGAAAGATGGGAAAAGTGCAACGATGTGACAACATTACTGCAAATAAAAAGTTAACAATAGTTCTAAATAAAGTATTGCTGATGCAAGCACGCTTACTTGTGACCCTGAAGATCGTACGCAGTTCCTTTTTTGCCTCCAATGTCCCAGCAGATAATAGTCTTATCGCTTCCACCCGAAAAGAGAAGCTTGGTGGTGCTGTCCCACTCAAGACAGCGCACCATTAAAGAGTGTCCTTTTAAATTTGTGATAAACTGAAAGGAATCGTTCAATAGCTTGACCATTTCAATATTGCCGTTCACATCGCCGATAAAGGCATGTCTTGACTGGTGATCAAACCTAAAACGAATTCATTCTTAGACGTCATTTTAAAAAATGCACTAATAGAATAACTTACTGAAGCGCTGAACAAGCCACCTTGCAGGTGTATGTCCCATATCGGTTACCCCTTTCTGAGCAATGCCAAACAAGGAATTTATCACGGCCAATGCTGAGCACCATTTCCGTTTCAAGCGAAAAAAGAGTCTCCTTAACTCGACCAGTGTGAGCGCTGAAGTTTTTAGTAAGCTTGATTCGGTTGTAGTCATTGGCCACACTGAATTCAGATATATAACCGTCGTCCAAACCAACAAACAAGCGCTTCGTTTGGTGGTTATAATCCATCGCCGAAGCAGGAGCTGTTTGGGTAATTGAAATTAATTTTTTAGTTCATGAAATTTGAAATGCCTACTCACATGAGAGAACATGGCAGACTGATGGCCAGTATGCTCCTCTGTCTCGCTTCAGCCAGATTCGAATGGTTCTAGGAGAAAGTGCAAACAGATCAATATTACGGTTTTGTTTAAAATGGTAAAACTTACTTGTCCTCGCTGATACTGACCACGCCATCCTCTCCGGGAATGATGAAAGCTGCATTGACCACATCTTGATGGCCTTCCAACTTACTTAGAAGCTGAATGTTTGCTCGATTAGGATCACTGGTGAATGATTTGATTTGTGTTGACATGATGAACGGGTCTAATGAAAGGTGAAACGGTCAGTCACAAACTTTACAGTAACAACATGTTACGGTAAAGAGGCAATACTGAAACACTGGTAACACTTGCCAACAAGGTAATGACTTTTAAAAAAGTGTCAACAATGATGGTCGTCGTAAGGTGATCACAGTCAATGGTAAACTTAAAATTAATCGGCTGTTAGACAGCAGGTAATGCTGAAAGGAGGCGAAGTAAACACAGCAGCACAACTGGTCAGTGATGGGTGTTTTGAGTGCAATCAAGCCCACGCCAGGCAGCAGATATGGAAGTAAAGGCAACGTAAAGATGGCCAAATCAAATGTCAAGAGAAAGTTGATGGTGCTTGTAAGCAACCGATGGCGAATGACGGATTTTTGGCGATGTTGTTATTCTACTGCTTCGTAGGCGACCGTCTCGCGAATACACACAGCCTGCAGGAGAGTGCAAGAGAAGACAGAGCAGCTGAGCAACGCAGCAGCTGGTGCCACCACACTGCAAAAGTGTGATTCATTCCCTTCTTTGCCTCCTATTGCCTGATTTGATCTCACTCTCACACTACTCATACACGACCCCTGATATCATATCTGATGGAATGAGCTTCGAGAGAAAATCAAAAACAACAACAATGCTTTATTTGTACACAGTCAGTATTGGGATGCCAGGGGCGTTGGTGAGAAAGTGGAGCAGAACCAGTGTCAAATGTCAGTGGAGTTTGTTTTCAACTGATGCAATTTTATGTCAGTTCATTATTATGGTACATGAAAAATGGCAAATAAGAATCTAAGTTTTTTAAGCTGTTGCAAAGCCTAGTAAGAGGCCAGACGCAAAACCACCGGCAAGCACGACGTTTTCACTTGCGAATTGGCTAACGTTTTCAACGAGTTGCGGGACTTTGGATTTGTTTTTGTCAATTTTAGCCTTCGCAACCTTGACATCATCGTTAAACTTTTTCCAGTCGATGTCAATGTACCCGTTGTACTTGGCGATCTAAGGATGACAGAAAAGAGTCTTAATCTCCGCTTGAACCATGAACTGTTTCTGCAAATACCTGAATGAGAAGCAAACTACCGCCAATAGCGGTAGCGACAATTTTTCCAAACTTGGCAGCCAAGTAGCCAGTTGCAAACCCACTAACGGCTCCAACGGTAAGCTGTTTCGCGTTGGAAGACTTTTTCAAGTCATCAAACAACTTTTTAACAGATCCACGTATTCCACTTGCATCTCCATTTAGAGGATCATCTCCAGCTATTGAAAAGGAAAATCAAGTTGGTGAGTCAACAATAGATCAACAACTTCTAATTAAGCATCACTTACAGTTGATGTTCACCTTAAAAACCATTGTGGCGATTTTTAGAAACTAGATGTAATGCTGGATGATGTTGACTTTCGAGTAGGATGGCAAATGACAAAGCATTGATGTCGCAGCACGTCTGTTATGATTGTGAATGCTAGTGGTTCTCAACGAGCGTACCTCTGTATTGCTGTTTTAGTTGCCGACTATCAAGGTGACACTTGGCACAGTACTTAAATTGAATTTTAGAGGTAAGATTGTCGTTGAGATTCGAAAAGCGACTTTGGAGAATGTTTACTTTTTGCTAAAATGACAGTTAATTACTTGCGCTGCGCATTTGCATTTCTCTTGACCGACATCCAAACAAATATCCATACCGTTTTGTCTGTTTCTCAAAATAGTGGCGCTATTGTTACTACACAAGACAGTGAGTGTACTTAGAAAATTGTTCAGAAATCAATCAAGGTGAGATAGATACAGCAATCAACATTGGAGCAGGTATATCGATTGTTGTAGAAACAATCTGATTTTAATATTTTTGAAAAAAATCGTCGATTTGTAGGGTATTTTCAACAATTCCCCTGCAAGCTAAAAATTTCATAAACAAACAACGAACAGTTATAAATTTTATTGAAGCTCACAAAATGCAATTTACAAATCGCAATGAATTAATAAATGTGTATGTATCAAGTAACAATGAAAACTCTCTGAAAATGAGCACGTGCAAAGAATCAGCATATGGTATAAGGTGCACTTTGTTATCTGCAGTCGGCCTTTACATGCAATCAAATACTGTGTGTGTGTGTTTGGAAATACGGCAGGCCACTGAACTGCAAACAGACATTAGTAAATGTGTATAATGGTATGGTTTAGAGATCATGGACTCTGGAAGCATTAGTGATGGATAGGGATGAGTGTGTTTGTTCGAGTGTGAAAGGAGGCAAGGAGTAAAATGGATGCTTTCTAGGGAAGGTTGTTTAAGAACTTATTGGCAATGCCACCGATATTGCCCACGCCTCGTCCGAGTCCGGAGATGCGACCCATCACATTGGAGGTGGCGTTCTGAATGCGACTGACGTAGTTGCCACCGTCAGGCATTCCTGCTACTCCACCTGCTCCTCCGCCTGCCACTCCTCCTACTCCGCCGCCGCCTCCCCCTCGCGAATAGTTTGCCATCGACGGAAGTTTGGAATTTTTTGGCGGTACACTGTTGGACGTTTCAGTGGTGGGGGCAAACTCTCTGTGGAAGGGAAAACGCATACGTTATTATAACCGGAAAAGCAGACATTTGCTTGTACAACGTACTCTATGTCATCGCTTTCTCGCTGTAATCCATTGGAAACTGAAGCTGCTGCTTCCTCCATTTTAATTCGATCCATTATCGCCTGATATATATCAGAGTTGAGCTTGTCCTCTTCAATGCCTTGCATCTCAAAGTCACTGTACATTTTCTGTAAAACAACAAAACAAACGATTTATTGCGGAAGAATGTAGCAGAGCGATCGAGTTGTAACTTACTTTGACTATGAGGGAGACGGCTGACAGCTGAAACAGATGCAGACAGTGCTCCATTCGCTCGTTGAGCCATTGATAGATCACTTGAATTTGGGATTCGTACCAGGACTAAGAGCAGAATTAAAGTGTTTAAAGTTAATGTCTACAGTTGCAGCAAATAGAAAAGTACCTCAAAGAACCGAAGCACCCATAGCTCGTCGCTCACTTTCTGTCGCAGTTGTTCAGCAGAGTTTCGTAGAAAGTTAATGTAAGACTTGCCTACGTCTTTTCCTGTGCTGGACATTCCTTTATTGTACTGCAATTAAATGGATTGACATTGTAACAAATGTAGAACAACAAAAACATTCCGTTAGCGAGTCATACCGTTAGCGAAAGAATTGGCGCCAAAATGCTTCCTTCATCGTATCGAGACAGTTTTCCTATGCAGCTTTCCAGAATAGCAATCAACTGTTTTCAGTGAGACTATGTATTACAAAAGAGAACTATCTTCAAATTTATACCGAATTACCTTGGTAATGAGACACTTTTGCATCATATTCAAGCTGTNCATCTTCAAATTAATACCGAATTACCTTGGTAATGAGACACTTTTGCATCATATTCAAACTGTTGTCGACCAGGTTGTCAATCTTTGCGTGATATTGGTTCTGCACACAGTATCAAAAGATGATCATTAGCCATCATCCCCTGCATGCTTAGAGAATGCTCAGACTCACAGTATCGTGACCGTTAAATGTGCAAAGCAAAAGAGACTGGTTCTTTGCTTCGATGAGCACATTGATCATACAACACATTTCCGATGGAATGATGTAGTCAGTACTGGCCGTCCATCTATTTCCTTTTCGTTCCCACTGCTGAAAACCTGCTAACGTATAGCTGACACATGCTTCGATCATGTCACAGGCCATCAACTTGAGTCGCTGCTCAAGGTGGTTGGCGAAAACTTCATCGGGCCAGAAAAGATCATGGATAAAGTTCTGCAAGGTGTTAAGCTGCCAGAACAAGTTGACTGAAGTAGCACAGCCACCAGGACTACGACAGACAAAACATTGAAAAAGTTAATACAACAAAAACTGGCACTCTGTGCCCAGATACAGACCCTTTAGTGTCCCATTTTTCCTTTTCAAAGTGTTTGTGCAGTGATTGCGCAATGGTTGATTCCATCAAATCGACATAACGAATCACCTGAGGTGCAAATGTGTCCCGTAGATGCGTATGAAAGCGACCTCCGTAAAGGTTTTCTGTTACAGAGAAGCAAATCAGACAACAAGTTATGGTAAGGGTAAGACTAAAGAGAGAACAGAAGAGGATTCTTACCGTCCATGCGGAGGTAGTTGTTTAGTACTTGAAAGAGGGGAAAGCTCTCCCAAGTGTCGGGTAACTGTTCAGAGAGAATAGTGTCCATGTCCACTGCAAAAAGCGTCCAAAAAGTCTCGCAATGTTCTACCATCAGTTCAGAAAACCAAGCGAATGCCTATAGTGATGCGCAATGGAGGGAGGAAAGAAGACTAGATGAGCTAGTGACGGGTCATCGTGGGCATCTCAATAATGCTCGCTTGACTGCTTCCACCTTGCTTTGATTCTTCACTAAACTTTAGTTTTTCAGTATCATCGAGGCACTTACTCTGTCCTGTGTTACATTCATTCCGATTAGGAAATTGGGACATTTGGAGAGAGTGAAAGAGAGAGACAGACAGACAGACAGAGGGGCGAGTCATACGAGGAGGAAAGAAATAAGCGAACAGTTAGGCAGAAAGCAAACGAAAGAAGGCAAAGGGGAAGGGGTGAAACATCAATGGATGACCAGTTTAGAGGCGTGAGAGAGAGAGAAAGTACGAAATGAGACGAAAGGCAATTGACTAGCAGGCTCGACAGGGCCAAAGTGAAACAGACAAGTGGACAAGTGGTTTGCACTGACTTAGGTGGCAGACCTTTGCAGACAAGACGAAGGTGGTGTGCGTGTGTTAGAGCCAAGTGTGAGTGAGGGAAGTTGAGAAGCGGGAGAAGGCACGGTGAGGCAGTGATGGAGTGACAAGTGGCAAGAAGTGAAAGAGATAAGTATAGATGCAATTAGCACAAGGTAAGACGGTGCACAAGCTACGGATCGGAAGGCGCTCATCGCCTAACTTTCTCAAGTGAGGCCGCTTTCTCGCTCCACCGTTCTATCTGTGGTGCACANGCAAGGTAAGACGGTGCACAAGCTACGGCTCGGAGGGCGCTCATCGCCTAACTTTCTCAAGTGAGGCCGCTTTCTCGCTTCACCGTTCTATCTGTGGTGCACAGTTACTAAGGCACATTTAGTAGCTATGTACTCTATAACCGGCCAACCAATTGATGTGACTGGGGTGTGATGCGGAAGAGAGGGAAAGGGAAAGGGAGGGAAAGAGGGAAAGATAGAATGGAGGCGCAGGTTGTGAACTCACCGCACTAAAGCCCTGATATTGAGTGACATGAGAATTGGACGGTAAAGCAGGCAAAACGTTGGGCGGGAAGAAACGATCGATTGGCGTGGGCGGCAAAGGAATTGGGTTAGTTGGTTTGTGCTACCAATCGGTAGAGAAACACCGCACACCAAAGAACATGCATGCCATCTGGACGGTTGACAGTTCTACTCATACAAAGTAGCAACACTTACATGCACACATTCATGGCACTAATACTACATTCAATTAATCAATGAACCAACACATTGAATTACCAAAGAAATACTAAAGGACATCAGAAGAATAGACAGTAAACATGACTCCAGAGAAAAACATGCATTGACAGGTAGAGATAGAGAGAAAGAGAATGAGAGTGTTTTGTGACAGTAGTCGATCTGCTGGTATTAGTAAGTGTTTACTGCTCTTACTGCTAAGATTGTGAGGGAAACTTGTTCAAGAGGAAACTCATCTGAATGATCTACTGCGATCATCTATCTCCTGTGAGTTTAGGTGAAGCTCTTCTGGCTAGTTAATTTGAGCGGCACACAACACACGTGTCAATAACATTAGCTAATGACAAACTGCTCTAACTGCAGTACAAGTAAAAGGTAGTAAGAGTAGAAGGCCAATCGACTAGCTGCATTCTACATAGGAGCTGCTTTTCAACTCTAACATACCTCGCCGTAGTGTTCATTGTTCTCCTGTATCAGGTCGACGCACATTTCTGCAAGGTGTGTCAACTTGTCCAGCTTCTCAATAGGCTTCATGTCGATGTCTTGTGCAATTTCTAGGTCGGTAAATGAGTATAAATGAGAATCGGCAAGGGCCATTAGTGGCGAACCATTAAATACCTTCAATTCGAGCTGATTTAGAGATTTTGCTGTAGTTTACATNATGTCTTGTGCAATTTCTAGGTCGGTAAATGAGTATAAATGAGAATCGGCAAGGGCCATTAGTGGTAAACCCTTAAATACCTTCAATTCGAGCTGATTTAGAGATTTTGCTGTAGTTTACATAGGCAGCACTTTCTAGACACTTCTTCATAAATGCTCTCACTTCTTCCTGTGTGGCCGGAGTCATGTTATCTTTCATTAGAACACGCTCCAGTAGTGATAAAGTATCCTTCAGTGATTTTTCAGGTCGTCCAAATGGAAAGCAGTAGCTGTGAAGGCAGCAGAAGTGTGTAAAAGTGTGTTAGTGTGTGTAAGTGTATTCATGAGTGATCTCATTAGCAGAGTAAGCAGGAAACNTAAGCAGCACTTTCTAGACACTTCTTCATAAATGCTCTCACTTCTTCCTGTGTGGCCGGAGTCATGTTATCTTTCATTAGAACACGCTCCAGTAGTGATAAAGTATCCTTCAGTGATTTTTCAGGTCGTCCAAATGGAAAGCAGTAGCTGTGAAGGCAGCAGAAGTGTGTAAAAGTGTGTAAGTGTGTGTAAGTGTATTCATGAGTGATCTCATTAGCAGAGTAAGCAGGAAACAATGTACTTACCGAAAGTTGGTTACTTGATACTCCAGCAGGGTCCGTAATCTTTCCTTGATCACCATGAACATTTCCTTTTCCTCCACAGTCACAGTGCCATGTCCATCAGGGCTGTCAGGTGCATTAATAAACGAAAGACATTAAAAAGGAGACGGTACAGCCACAGCAGTTTTAGCTGTACCTGATATCGTGAGCGACTTGTCCCATTATGGGCATGATTTCATTGTTTCTAAAATTACCGAACAACAATTATATTGCATTGTTTAGTGTTCTCACCCTACTACAGACTTACTTGCTTCCATGAACACAGGCAGAGCAAAAGTTGAAGATGCAGAGAATGAGAAAGGGATCAATAAGAGTGCCCTTCTCCGCAAAGTCAAGTAAATCATTGAGGTAAGAGAGATACCGCAGGCAAGTTCTCACACCATATCGCCAGCTGTACTCCTCCAGCACAAACATTATTCCCGAGCTGAACCACCCAAATGAGGTGTACTGATCACCCAGTCGGTACGCCAGTGACTCGCTCTGCAGCAGGGTAAACATTTGATTATGGCTAAACTTGCAAGGGTCAGACTGAATAAACTCGTCCATTCCGTGTTTTCGAGCTCGATCGGCGTCTGAATAGTGGTGAGGGTGAGTGTTCAGTGTAGGGCGACATAAGCAAATTAGCAAATAGTAATA